TTCCTGAGTGCAGAGCCAGGAGTAATCCCTGTGCCTCACCGGGTGTGACCCTAAAAAAAATCAATCAATCAATCAATCAATAAATGCAAGTATTAATAAGAAGTAAACTTAATTGTTTAAAATGTACAACTAAAGGGGAAAAGAAAAACAATATAGATGTCCCTGGGAGATAGCATCTTCTTGAGTTAATTCCCCCAAGAAAATTGCATCCACCAAAATATTTTACCTCTGTAAATGACCATGACACCTATGTGCAGTCCTGTACATTGAAGCCCTCAGATGTCCTATAGTATGCCAACGGCTCCGTGTTAAACGGCCATTCTTATTTTTTTATTGCAAGAGATTGTATTTTTTATTTTAGGGCTGGAGCAATAGCACAGCGGTAGGGCGTTTGCCTTGCATGCAGCCAACATGGCCGACCCGAGTTCGATTCCTCCGCCCCTCTCGGAGAGCCCGGCAAGCTACTGAGAGTATCTCGCCCGCATGGCAGAGCCTGGCAAGCACCCCGTGACGTACTCGATATGCCAAAACACAGTAACAACAAGTCTCATGATGGAGACGTCACTGGGCCCGCTTGAGCAAATTGATGAACAACGGGAGGACCGTGACTGTGATTTATTTATTTTTAATTTTTAATAGCGAGACATCATGAGGTACAGTTGCAGACTTACACATTTTTGTGCTTGGGTTTCAATTATACAATGATCAAATGCCCATCCCTCCACCGGTGCCCATTTCCCACCACCACGGATCCCAGTATCCCTCCCAGCCCCCAGCCCCCCCATCCCACCCTGCCTCTGTGGCAGGGCATTCCCTTTTGTTTTCTCTCTCTTATTGGGTGTTGTGGTTTGCAAAAGAGGCAATGGATGACAATCATGTTTAGTCTTTAATCTACTTTCCACATGCTTCTCCTATCCTGGGAGGATCCTCCCAACACCTTTATTTGGTGTTCCCCTCTTTATCTGAGCTCCCTTTTCCCCTAGTATGTGGTTGGCCTCCAAGCCATGGAGTAAAATTCCTGGTACTAATCTCAGTCAATCTTGGGTGTTAGTCTCCTATTGTGTTACTTTATGTTCCCCAGATGAATGCAATCTTTCTATGTCTATCCCTTTCTTTCTGAGTCATTTCGCTTAACATGATACTTTCCATGTAGTACCACTTGTATGTAAATTTCGTGACTTCGTCTTTTCTAACAGCTACATAGTACTCCATTGTGTAAATGTACCAAAGTTTCTTGAACCAGTCATCTGTTCTCGGGCACTCAGGTTTTTTTCCAGATTCTGGCTATTGTAAATTCTGGCTATTCATTGCTGCAATGAACAGACAATTGCAGATGTCACTTCGACTATACTTTTTTGCCTCTCTGGGATATATTCCCAGGAGTGGTATTGCTGGATCAAATGGGAGCTCAATTTCTAATTTTTTGAGAATCGTCCATACTGTTTTCCAAAAGGGCTGAATCAGTCGGCATTCCCACCAACAGTGAGTGTCCCTTTCTCACCACATCCGCGCCAGCACCGGTTGCTTTTGTTCTTGTGGACATGGGCCAGTCTCTGTGGTGTGAAGTGATATCTCACTGTGGTTTTGATCTGCATCTCCCTGATGATTAATAATGTGGAGCATTTTCTCATGTGCCTTTTAGCCATTCGGATTTCTTCTTTGTGAAAGTTTCTATTCATTTCATCTCCCCATTTTTTTGATGGGGTTGAATGTTTTCTTTTTGTGGAGTTGAACCAGTACTTTGTATATCCTTGAAATTAACCCCTTATCAGATGTGCAGTTGGCGAATATCCTTTCCCATTCTGTAGACTATCTTTGTATTTTGGTCACTGTTTCTTTTGAGGTGCAGAAGCTTCTTAATTTAACATAGTCCCATTTGTCTATTTCTTTTTTCACTTGCTTGGCCAGCGATGTGACATCTTTGAAGACACCATTAGCTTCTATGTCATAGAGGATTTTGCCAACTTTTTCCTCAATGTGCCTTATAGATTCCGGTCTGATGTTGAGGTCTTTAATCCACTTAGATCTTACTTTTGTACATGGAGTTAGGCAGAGATCTGAGCCCATTTTTTTGCATGTAGTCGTCCAGTTTTCCCAGCATAATTTGTTAAAGAGGCTTTCCCTGCTCCACTTCACATTTCTTGCCCCCTTATCGAAGATTAGATGTTCGTATGCTTGGGGGGAGATGTCAGTATATACAACCCCGTTCCATTGGTCTACAGCTCTGCCTTTGTTCCAGTACCATGCTGTTTTAATTATTACTGCCTTGTAGTAGAATTTGAAATTAGGGAGGTTGATTCCTCCCATTTTCTTTTTCCCAAGAATTGCTTTAGCTATTCATGGGGCTTATTGTTCCATATAAATTTCAGGAGTGTTTGCTCCACTTCTTTGAAGAATGTCATGGGTATCGTAATAAGGATTGCGTTGAATTTATACAGTGCTTTGGGAAGTATTGCTATTTTGACAATGTTAATTCTCCCGATCAATGAGCAGGGGATATTTTTCCATTTCCTTGTATCCTTTTTTATTTCCTGAAGTAGCGTTTTGTAGTTTTCTTTGTACAGGTCCTTTACTTCCTAGTTAGGGTGATTCCTAGGTACTTGATTTTCTGGGGCACAATTGTAAACAGGATTGTTTTCTTCATGTCATGTTCTTCTCTTTCACTGTTTGCATATAGGAAAGCCATGGACTTTTTGGGTATTGATTTTATAGCCTGCCACTTTACTGTCACTGTTACTGTCACTGTCACTGTTCTCCCGTTGTTCATCGATTTGCTCGAGCGGGCCCAGTAACGTCTCCACTGGAGACTTTGTTGTGGCTAGTACGAAAGTAGTGAGTGGTCGCAAGGTCAACCTAAAGCCACTTTACTATACAAGCCTATTGTTTCTAGAAGTTTCTTGGTAGAGGTTTTAGGATTCTCTAAGTATAGTATCATATCATCTGCAAATAGTGAGAGCTTGATTTCTTCCTTTCCTACCTGGATGCCCTAATATTTTTTTCTTGCCTAATCGCTATTGCAAGTACTTCCAGTACTATATTGAACAGCAGTGGAGAGAGTGGACATCCTTGTCTCATCCCTGATCTTAGAGGGAAGCCTCTCAGTTTTTTGCCATTGAGGACGATGCTTGCTGTAGGCTTGTGGCAGATGGCTTTAACTATATTGAGGAAAGTTCCCTCTATCCCCCTTTTTGGCTAGGGTTTTCATCATAAATGGGTGCTGGATCTTGTCAAATGCTTTCTCTACATCTATTGATATGATATGATTTGTATCTTTTCTTTTGTTGATATGGTGGATTATGTTGATTGATTTCCGAGTGTTAAACCAGCCTTGCATCCCCAGGATGAATCCTACTTGGTCATGGTGTATGATCTTTTTGATGAGTAGTTGAATTCTATTTGCTAGTATTTTGTTGAGAATCTTTGCATCTGTGTTCATCAGGGAAATCAGCCTGTAGTTTTCTTTTCTCGTGGTGTCTTTGTTTCCTTTTGGTATTAGAGAGATATGGGTAAACGGCCATTCTTACCATCAGTTCGTGGTTCTGTCTCTCTGCTTCTCTGCTGGGGAGGCCGGAAGGCGGCTCTCAGCCACTGAACACGCTGTGCACCCATACTTGGTACTCACTCATCACACTGCTCTGACCTTCCTCCAGCCACCCACTGGGCAAAGGGTTTTATATAGGCTGTCCCCCTGTTTGAGCCAAACTCCAAGCCTCTGCCTCTTCCCTGAGGCCCTCTGTGAGAAGGGCCACAGCCACGTGCCCGTCAGGACTCTCTTTTCTGGGGAAGGGAGGACGGCGCCCCGTGAGTCACTATCTCTGAACAGAAATGTCCCCTCATGGTCACTTTGGAGATGCAGCCGGGTCAGGGCGGAACGTGGTATGAAACGAGCACCTTGATTCTGAGAGACCCATCAGAAGGTGGCAAGGCCTGAGGCACCTGACAGCATTTAATCGGGGCTATCAGCCCAGGGCTGCTTTGGGGACATTCAGTGCTGCCCAAGAGAGTGGACAGTGCTGATCCTGGTGAGTCTGGGATTCCCCAGGCAGCCAAGCCGGGAGGAGACATTTCAGCCATGTTACCCGATGAGCAGGCGGGAGGGAAGCCGGTGTCACCCTCAGGGCAGGCCTGGTCACTCTGAGTTCCTCACCTGCCCCTGCCCAGCTCGCCAGCTCTCCCAATTCTTTCAAGCAACTTTCATAGCCCAGAAAGTTCCGGGCTCTGGCCACTGCTTTCCCAGGGGAGATAAGACACGCTCCAACCACAACCAGAAAGGGCCGACACACAAGGGTCTCTGTGAAGACACTGCACCTCCTTTCCCAGGCCTGCGAGGGAGAAAAAGAAGAACTTGGTATTGCAAGGGGGAACCTGAGAGGTGACGCTGGGGTTGGAGACAGGGAGAAGAGAAGTCGCTTTGTTTGCTGCCACCCCAGAAGCCGAGAGCACTTCCTCTGTGAAATCCTGGTCACCCACCCCTTGATCTAGTTCTTTAACCCTGGACCACCTCAGCCTGGGCACAGTGGGCACAGAACCAGAGTGGGCGCTGAGGGTGGCCAGGTTCCAGGCCCCGTCTCTCAGCCCCTCGCTCTGAGGTGGGGGCTGAGAGGGGCCCTAGGCCACCATGCCCCTCCTGACAGCCTTGACAGGCCCCGCGGCAGCCCCATCCCAGGCAGAAGGCAGCCAGGGAGAAGCAGAGACAAGGGCAGAGCCAGAGACGCACACCCTTGGGATGTCCAGGGGTAAGCAGAACTGCAGGGGAGTGGGGAGAGAGCCCAGCACCCAGGGCAGGACCCGGCCACGCGCCTAAGGTGGGTGGAGCCCCCTCACTGGCCACGGGGAGGCCCTTGTGCAATACAGGAACAGAGCAGCCTTGGTCACAGGAAGCGCTGGTCACGCTTGGGCTCCCTGTGCTGTCCCCGCCTGCTCCTCCCTCTGCTGTGCTCAGGAGCCCCCGACAGCCCCCAGAGCGGCCCCGCTGCCCCTCGCCCTGAGCAGAGCCCGGCATGGGTCTGGCCCCGCTGCTGCTGCTGCTGCTGGCCCTGCTGGCCTCCCTGCTGAACGGTGAGTGACCGGACAGGGAACCCCTATGGGGTGTGGCTGGCACGTGGGGGACATGCCTCTGGGGGTGCGGGGCAGAAGCAAAGGACTGCCCTGGTGTTGGGTCACCCCTTCTCCCCCTGTCCCCGAAGCCTGGACAGAGGACACTGCTCAGATGGACGGTCCTGCCCTGCCCAGGGACATGGGGCATGGGGTTCAAACTTCTGTCTCTCCTCCCCAACCAGCTGCCCCTGAAAACTGTGGCAATCAAAACTTTGGGGTCGACCAGCAAAAGCACCTGGAAGCCCCCGAGGGCGGCTCCATCCGCATCCCCTGCTCCTTCCACCACAGCTGGGAGGTAACCAAGAATCCTGAGGTGAGGATAGCCTGGAGGTGGAAGAACTTCCATGGAGATTTCATCTACAACCAGACTCTGAGTTGGACCCATGAGGAGTTCAAGGACCGTCTCCACCTGGACTGGACACAGGGCCAGACCAGGGGTGCCCTCCTCATATGGAACCTGCGGAGGCAGGACACGTCCACATACTTCTGCCGAGTGTGGCTGAACACAAAAACATGCGGGCCACAGGTGTTTCAGTCCATTCAGGGGACCAAACTCAGCGTCACCCCAGGTGAGTCAGCTGCTCGGACCAGCCCCTTTGTCCTAAAGCCTCCTCCTTTTCACACTCTCCATTTCAGTTACATTTCTGAAGAATTTGGTCATCAATAAACCAAATTTTGTGGGCCGGAGACAGTGCGTAGGTCAGTGGATAGGACGCTTGCCTTGCATGTGGCTTGTCGTGCCTTGCTGTGCCTTGCATCCTGGGTTCAATCCCTACTAACGCATATGGTTTCTGGAGTCACCAAGAGGGATTCCTGAGCACAGAGCAGAAGGAAGCCCTGAATACCACCAGGTATGCTCACCCAAATACAATTTTTTAATTCATGGAATTAAAGTGATATTCAAACTCATTTTTAAAATAAATATAGGAAAATAGAGTAATTTTGAGTTGACTTTCACCGTGCAAAGTCCTCACAGCAAAGAAATCTTGTCAGCCAGTGTCACTCCTAAGTTGGTGTTTACTTATGGATTCTTAACCTGCAGAGGGTTTGCTCTGCAGACCAACCTCACTGCATAATTGTATAGGGACAATTTGTCTACTTTCTGATTTCTAAACCCCAAATTCTTATTTTTCTACTTCTAAAAATTTTTATAAAGCTGTTCACAGCAATTGTTTACATTGAGTATTTCAACACCAATCCCACCACCATTACTTTGACCCTTCCCATCAACCCCCAACCTGCCCCTTTGGCAGATGCTAAGCAGATTATTGAGCTTGCTAGCTCTGGGCGTGACTCCCACATACCTAACTTTTGTCCATTTAATTTCTCCAGAAACTTGGTCCCAAAGTGTTAGGGTCTGGCCAGAGGCTCAGTGGCAATTTGGGGGTATCAGGAAGCCTGAAGGCATCTCAGCTGCTGATGCACTCGCCCCATGGGTACAAGCTGACCTGCTGTGTGCACTGTACCCCCTAAGTCCCAAATTCTATAAAGCAGCATAGAGTTAAAAAGATTTTTTGTTATTTGGGGGCCTCCCAAGTCTTTCTCAGGGTCCCCAGGGGCCACTCCTGGCCACTGTCAGTAAGCCAAGCCAGTCTTTGAATCAAGGGACCAGGACACAAGATTGTTTGAACCCCGTGTGTCAGGGGTCACCAGGGCTGCACTTGGGGTCTCCAGAGCTGAACCTGCTGTACTCAGGAGGCCATGTGGTACCAAAGATCAAACTGGGTTTTCCACATGCCAGACACGAGCATGGAGCCCTTTGTTGTCTCTCTGCCATGGTCGAGGAAGAAAACTGTGTGGCTGTGCCAGGCAGTGCTCAGAATCCCGGCCCAGCTCTGTGCTCAGGGACAGACGCTGAGCTGGGGTCTGCACCGGTGCCATGGCTAAACTGCATCCAGGCCAGTGCCCGAGCCTGTCCTCCCTCCCTCCCCCCCCCCCCCCTCTCTCTCTCTCTCACCAGCTCTCCGGCGGGGGAGGGGGTGGAATTTTGAGCAGAGCTCACAAGGGAAAACTTCTGTGAGCTGAGTGAAGGAGAGCTGTACCCTATAACGGGAAGCAGTCACACAGAATTAAAGAAGATAAGCACTAACGGTAGTGGGGGGACCGAGGAGGGAACCAGGTGATCCTGCAGAACACCTCCAAGGCCCAGGATGGTGCCGGGCGACGCTGGAATCGGGGTTGGAGGGAGGATGGAAGGGGTGGGAGGGGTCTGGAAGTCAGAGTGGCACCGAGAGTCTGAGAGTTGTGTAAAGGGCAAGGAAGTGAGACCCCCTCTCCCCCACAAAGCAACCTGGAGTTTTGGTTTTGTGAGAATCAGAGAGTTTCAGGAGGCTTCCCAGCACAGCAAAGTTGGGGCTCAGCGCCCCAAAACTGGGGGTCTGCTGAGTGGATGGGGCCCTACATGCTGGGCAGCCAGACTGGGGTCCTCCTACCCTGCTCAGAATACCCCCCCCACAGTTAGATAGTCACTTAGGAACCCAAGGCCCCCGCAGCCACACACACTTCCCCGTCTGCTGGCTTCAGGGACACAGACCCAGCACTTAGTCGGGCCCTCTCCAGCTGTGCCAGGGCGGCCCTGGACTCCCCCCCTGGGCTTCAGGCATCAAAGCCTCCTCAGAGCACATGGTCCCCAGGGAGCACTGCCTGTCCCCAAGCCAACCAGGTTCCTGGATATGAGTTTGGGTTGTTTTTTGTTGTTTTTGTGTCACATCTGATAAAACTCACAGGCTACTCCTGGCTCCGTGCTTAGGGATCACTCCTGGTGGTGCTCAAGGGACCATATGGGATGATGCCAGGTATCAAACTCGGGTCGGCCAAGTGCAAGGCAAACACCCTCCCTGTTGCACTATCACCAAGAGTCCAGCTCCAGTTTCTTGAATCTTGGCGGTGGCCACATGCCAGCAGGGCTCTGAGGATCACTCTGGCCCAAGGTCTCTGAATCCCAGCACTGGCCTCCCTGGAGCCCTCACTGGGGCCGGCCCTTGGGGGGAAGGAGAGAGAGTTCAAATGCTGATAGAAACTTCGGTGCGTTCACAAAACTATATCCACTGACACCTGGTGGACCAGCCCAGCCGCTGCTCCTGCACACATATCCTGGTAATCAGCTGCCTTGTGGGCAGTGTTGCTTTGGCAGCTGTAAGGGACTATCAGCTTCCCGCCCTCCTGCAACTTCAGCCAGGAATCAGAATGGCCTCGTGTCCCAGGTTTCTCTGTGTCCTAGAGTCTTTCCTTAGGGTTTGCTCTTTTTTTTTTTTTTTTTATTTATTGAATCATTGTGAGAGCAGTTACAAAGCTCTCAGGTTTAAGTCCTGGTCACACAATGATAAAACACCTGTCCCTTCACCAGTGCACATTTTCCACCACCAAAAATCCCAGAATAGCCCCCCATCCCACACCCTTCCCCCTACCTGTGTGGCAGATGATTTCCACACTACTCTCTCTCTACTTTGATTACATTCAGTATTTTGACACCAGACCCACCATTATTATTTGGTATTTTACCCCAACACTCAGATCTGCTGAAAAAGCAGCATTAGACAATTTGTTTTCTATTGTTGATTATGAATAGCATATGATGTTGCCTGCAAGACAAACACCCTACCTGCTGTCTCCTATTATGTTACTTTATATTCCACAAAAAGGTGCAGTCATTCTGTTTCTGCCCCACTGTGACTCATTTCACTTAGTATTATATTCTCCATGTTGATTCACTTATATGCAAATTTCATGGTTTCATCTTTTCTAACAGCTGCATAGTATTCCACTGCGTAGATATACCAAAGTTTCTTTTTTTTTTTCTTTTTGAGTCACACCCGGCAATGCACAGGGGTTCCTCCTGGCTCTGCACTCAGGAATTACTCCTGGCGGTGCTCAGGGGACCATATGGGATGCTGGGAATCGAACCCGGGTCGGCCACATGCAAGGCAAAACGCCCTACCTGCTGTGCTATTGCTCCAGCCCCTACCAAAGTTTCTTTAACCAGTCATCTGTTCTCGGGCACTCGGGTTTTTTCCAGATTCTGGCTATTGTAAATATGCTGCAATAAACATACACATGCAGATGTCATTTCTACTGTGCTTTTTTGCATCTCTGGGATATTCCCAAAAGAATCCACAGAAGATTTTAACTAAGCACACACTCACTCCTGACAGCACAGATTCTGGTGTGGTGTCTGTCTGTCCATCTGTCTCATCTGTTCTCTTATCTTTCAGCACCTGGTATTTCTGTTGCTTCCCTGTTTGGGGTCCGTTTTCCTCGTGGTTTTCTGACTTCCTTCCAGGCAGGCTCTCATCAGACTAGGAGACTGTTTCCATAGCAACTGACTATTTCATTCACCTGGAGCAAATTCTTCCCCTAGATGAGAATGAAGTGGGGAGGCCTGTGGGGAGATAGGTCAGTGCGAATGCGTTATATGTGGGACGTCTGGTATTGAGCTTCCAAAATCAGGACCAACTCAGCATTACCAATGACCCAATATGACAACGGGGAGGAAAAAAAGTATTGCTGAGGGAAGGGAGCAGTGGTGCCCTACGGAAATAAATTTTGTATATCTAACACTGCTCTGTCCCTTTCCCTGGCCACCCACTTTATAAAGGATGCCCCTCCCCCCCACCCACTCCCCACCCCCCGCCCCCGGCCCAAACTCCAGGCCTCCACCTCCTCCCTGAGGCCCTCTGTGAGCAGGGTCGCAGTCACGAGCTGGTCAGGACTCTCGTTTCTGGGGAAGGGAGGATGGTGCCCCCATGATTCACTCTCTCTTTCTGAACAGAAATGTCCCCTCACAGTCACTCTGGGGATGTAGCTGGGCCAGTGGCGTGAAACGTGCCCCTTGATTCTGAGAGACCCATCAGGAGGCAGCGAGACCTGAGCACCTGACAGCATTTACTCGGGGCTGTCAGCCAAGGGCTGCTTTGGGGACATTTTGCACTGCCAGAGGGAGTGGGCAGTGGTGACCCTGGTGTGTCTGGACTCTCCCTAGGCAGCCTGGCTGGGAGGAGATGTTTAAGCCTTGTCCCCTGGTGAACGGGCAGGAGGGAAGCCGGTGTCACCCTCAGGGCAGGCCTGGTCACTCCAGGTTCCTTACCTGCCCTTGCCCAGCTCTTCAGCTCTCCCCAACTCTCTCAAGCAACTTTCACAGCCCAGAAAGTTCCGGTCTCTGGCCACTACTTACCCAGGCGAGATAAGACTCGCTCCAACCACAACCAGATGGGGCCGAGCTAAAAGGGCTGACAGACAACGGTCTCTGTGATGACACTGCACCTCCTTTCCCAGGCCTGTGAGGGAGAAAAAGAAGAACTTGGTGGTGCAAGGGGGAACCTGAGAGGTGATGCTGGGGTTGGGGACAGGGAGAAGAGAAGTCGCTTTGTTTGCTGCCTCCCCAGAAGCCGAGAGCACCTCCTCTATGAAATCCTGGCCGCCCACCCCTTGGCCTAGTTCTTCAGCCTTGGACCGCCTCAGACTGGGCACGGTGGGCACAGCCCCCAGAGTGGTTGCTGCGGGTGGCCAGGTGCTAGCCCCCATCTCTCAGCCCCTCGCTCTGAGGCAGGGGCTGAGAGAGGCCCAGGGCCACAGGGTCTCTCCTGACAGCCTCCTCTGGCCCCGCGGTTGCCCTGTCTCAGGTAGGTGATCAGGAAGAAGCAGAGACAAAGGAAGTGCCAGAGACACACACCAGCCCTCGGGCTGTCCAGGGACAGCTAAGCAGGGGTGCAGGAGAGTGGGGAGAGAGCCCAGCACCTGGGTCAGGACCCTGCCCCGCACATAAGGCAGGTGGGGCCTCCGCACTGGCCACAGGGAGGCCCTGTGCAATACAGGAACAGAGTAGCCTCGGTCACAGGAAGTGCTGGTCACGCTCCAGCTCCTTGTGCTGTCCCCACCTGCTCCTTCCTCCACTGTGTTTAGGAGCCCCCGACAGCCCCCCAGAGCAGCCCCACTGCTGCCCACCATGAGCACAGCATGGCATGGGTCGGGCCCCGCTGCTGCTGCTGGCCCTGCTGGCCTCCCTACTGGGCAGTGAGTGGCCTGGACAGGGCAACCCAGGGCTGTGTCTGGCACCTGGGGGACGTGCCTCTGAGGGTGTAGGGCAGAAGCAAAGGGCTGCCCTGGTGCTGGGTCACCCCCTCTTCCCTTGTCCCCTAAGTCTGGACAGAGGACACTGCTCAGATGGACGGTCCTGCCCTGCCCAGGGACATGGGTCCAGAGACATGGGGCTCACACTTCTGTGTCTCTTCTCCCCAACTAGCTGCCCCTGAAAACTGCAACACTGGCCATGGGATCAACCAGCAAGAGCACCTGGAAGCCCTCGAGGGCGGCTCCATCCGCATCCCCTGCTCCTTCCACCACAACTGGGAGTTAGCTGAGAATCCTGAGGTAAAGATAGGCTGGAGGTGGAAGCACTTAAATGGAGATTTCATCTACAAACAGACTCTGAATTGGGACCATAAGGAGTTCAAGGACCGTCTCCGCCTGGACTGGACCCAGGGCCAGACCGAGGGTGCCCTCCTCATCTGGAACCTGCAGAGGCGGGACACGACCACATACTTCTGCCAAGTGACGCTGAACACAAAGAGATGCGGGAAACGGGTGATTCAGTCCATCCGGGGAACCAAACTCAGCGTCACCCCAGGTGAGTCGGCTGCTCGGACAACAGCTGCACACACCTCCCCCCCCCCGCCCTGGAATCCTGCAAGGACCCTGGAATCCTGTACCCAGGTCCCCTCTTCCTTCCTTTCTAACTCCTCTAAGCTCCCAGGACCCCTGTGGGCTCTGCCACATTATCTTTTTCTATTGTTGATTATGAATAGCATATGATGTCGCCTGCAAGACAAACACCCTACCCGCTGTCTCCTATTATGTTACTTTATATTCCACAAAAAGGTGCTTTATCTTCCCCACAACTGGGCTCCTTTTGGCCTGCCCCTCACATCCCATATCCTGCCCCCCACATCTTCAGGAGCCTCTGGGGTCTCCGGGACCTCTTTCTCTGTCTCCAATCCAAGGTGGAGCCCCAGAAGTTGACTTTCTCAGATGTGGCCAGTGTCTCCTTCGTCAAGTGGCTATGCGAGGACCTCCAGTAGCCCCCAGAGCTGTCCCTCCTCCTCGCTGCACTCAGTCAGGAGACCCCTGACAACGGCCAACACCCCCATTACCATGTGCCCCACCAGGCTCAGAGTGCCCCAACAGTGCCTAAATGGCACCTCCTGCGGTGACCACAGCCCAGTGGCCGAGGCTCTGACCCTGACAGGCCCACCACGCCCTCGGATCTGTTGGTCACCTCCAAGGGGTATGTTGTGGCATAGACTTTCCAGGCCGCCGTGGACTCTGGAACTTGAACCCGACTTAGGCACCAGACAGGCAATAAGCAGCACACCGCCTGGAGGAGAAAAGTTAGAAAACAGAAACAGAAGTCGACAAAGTTAGTTCTATATCGGCACTGGCACGGGTGGGGGGACGGGACAGGATGGGACGGGGGGTTTGGGGGAGCGTGTTTAGAGGGATATTCCGTGCCTCTGCCAGCTAACTCCTGCCCTGGCCACTAAGTTCGTCTTAGGAAAAGAATTCAGGAGTCAGTCTTGGATTTCTTTTGTTTTGGGGGCCATACTTGGCAATGCTCAGGGCTACTCCTGGCTTTGTGCTCAGGGATTACTCTTGCCGGTTCTCAGGGGACCATTTGGGATGCTGGAGAGTGAACCCAGGTTGTCTGTGTGCAAGGCAAACACCTTCCCCACTGTCCTGTCACTCCAGACCCCCAGCCCTAGATTTCTGCTGTTCCTTGTTTTTATGTTTGGGGGGTCCATACCCAGTAATGGCCAGGGGCTATTCCTTGGCTCTGTGCTTAGGAATCACTCCTGGCAGTGCTTGGGTGACCATATGGGATGTGGGGGATTGAACCCAGGTCCATCACGTGCAAGACCAGCGCCCCCCCGCTCTGCTCTCGCTGGCCCCTTCTGCCATGCTTTTGGGGACTCCTGACATGGTCTCATGAGGGGTTCTAGTTCTCCTTATACCCCCCATTTCTTTCCTAGTTCCTCCTTGTCTCATTTGCTGTTCCAGTTAGCTTTTCTTTAACTTTAGGGTTTTGGTGGGGGGAGGGTGTGAGGCACATCTTGACTTACTTCTTTGTTGTCAGGGGTCACTCCTGGCCATGTTGAGCGACCAAATGGGGTGCCGGGGATCAAACCCACATCAGTCACCTGTGAGACAAATACAGTACTCTCTGTACTATCTCTCCAGTTCCTCCTGTGATTTTTGTCACCAATAAATCCAATTTTTTAATTCATGGAATTAACTAAATTCATGATGATTATTCTTTACCTTTATAATAATCATTATTCATGATCATTATTATTTTAAAAAGAGCACAGGGATGGGTCAGAAAGATAGTACACGGGATAAGGTACTTGCCATGAATGTGGAGACCCACGTTCTATTTGGTTTTCTGCATTGCAGACGGTCCCTAAGCATATGCCAGGAATAACTCCTGAGCACCAAGTCAGGAGTAATCCCTGAACACACCCAAGTGGGACACAAAAATAAACAAACAAACAAAAGAACACAAGTGGGCCCAGAGGCTAGTCCAGCAAGCAGGGTGCTTGCCTTGCACGTAGCAAATCCCCAGCACCCCATAGGATCTTCCAAGCCTGCCAGGAGTGATCCTGAGCACAGAGCCAGGAGTCAGCCCTGAGCAGTGCCAGGTGTGTTCCCCAAACAAAAAAATTTTAAAAAGACAAGTGACTTTTAAAAGGGCTTTTAATGCAGTTTCAATATGCAAAGACATCACACAGAAAGAATACTAGTAGCAAATACCACACACTTAAGTTTGTACCTGTTAATTTTTAAAATGTAGGTGTTTCAATTTTTGCAGATAAATCTAATTGTATAGTTGTATACAGAAAGACAGTATTTCTTCCCTTTTTTCTAAATCCAAATCCCATAAATCACTAAGGAATCAAAAGTCTAAATGTCTTGTTTGCACAATTTCTTTTTTCCAGTAAAAGTCTTTGCCTGCATGCTTGAGGCTGTGGGTTGTACTTCCAGCACTGGACACCAGAGAAGGAGCAGCCAGAGAGACAGTTCAGGGTTAAGTGTCAGCCTTGCATGGCTTGACCCTGGTTCAAACCTGAGAACTGCCAGGAGTGACCCTGGAGCACAGAGCCAGGAGTAAGTGCTTAGCCCAGCTGGGTAGGGCCCAAACCCCCACTCCTCAAAGAAAAAAACCTTTACAAGGTAGTGAGATGAATTCTAGTATACTGTATGATATGCCATGAAATATAAGGATCGCTACATTGATTTCTACACTAAGAAGCTGATTATCCTACCCCACAGACTTGAGTGTTTTCTTTCTCTATTGAGTCACAAGTCTGGCTTGATGCTGCCAATGCTGTGCCACTTTCCTAAATCTGCTGTGGGTGTTTCTGTTTTGTCACCTCATCCTGCTTCAGTGACTGATAAGCCAGGTTCCACCTCAACCATCTCACTTTTTCAAAACTTGATTATTATTGGGCTAGAGCAATAGCACAGCGGGTAGGGCATTTGCCTTGCATGCAGACAACATGGCCGACCCGAGTTTGATTACTCCGCCCCTCTCAGAGAGCCTAGCAAGCTACCGAGAGAATGTCGCCCGCACAGCAAAGCCTGGCAAGCGACCCGTGACGTATTCGATATGCCAGACACAGTAACAAGTCTCACAATGTTACTGGGCCCACTCGAGCAAATCAATGAATAACGTGAGGACAGTGACAGTGACAGTGATTATTATTGCCTGACTTTTTCACACATAAAGTTAGGATAACTTAACCACATTTGGGGGTTATTTTTGCAATAATGTTCATGACAGGGGATCATGCATACAATGTCCCAACATCATACCCTTCCCCAGAGGGTCTGTTTCCCTCCGCCACTGCCTCGGGTTCCCTGCGAGTTCCCCTTTCTCTAGTCTGCCTTGGTAAGCTCAGTTCTGTGGCTCGGTTCTCAGGTTCTGTTCCCTTACTATGACTCTTTATGACAGACAAATGAGAGGACATTCTGAAAATCTTTGCCCCTTTCCTCTCACTCCACTCAGCATGATAAACCTTCTAGTTCTATTCATGTGACTTCATCTCTTCTTAGAGCCAAATTATTCCATGTGTAAACGCACCAGCTTCCTGACCCACTCATTTGCTCCTGAGAAGGACTGCCAAAGCCCAAAGGCATAGAAATTGTAAAGGGTAGGACTCTGGCCCCGAGGGAGACCTGCACCTTCTGATTACAAAGCACCACTCCAGCCCACTAAGCTCTCCAGCCCCTCATGTCAAATTTCAAGTGGTGTACTAAGCATATACAGAGGGAAACTTGTAGGGCCTAAAGTTCAATACACTAACTCAATATCTGATTTGATACATATTTATAAAAATTATCAAGTATTTCCAATCTATAAAAGGTACTTTATAGAGATGCTCTTATGCATACTTATTAAAATAATTCAATAGGGAAAAAATAATTCGATAGGGGCCAGAGCAATAGTACAGCAGGTAGAACACTTGCCTGAACACGACTGACCTGAATTCACTCCCCAACACCCCATATCGCCCCCTGGGCACCTCCAGGAGATCCCTGAGCCCTAAGCACCGCTGGGTACAGTCCAAAATCCAAGAAAAAGAAAAAAGGAAACCATAAAGTAAGGACTGAAACCCAGTGAGGTGGACACTGAGCTTCTGGTATCTCTCCTCGTTCCCCCTTCCCTGTAAGAGCACCGTGTTCCCCCCTCCCCTCCCCCTGACACCCCACACTCCCAGATTAAGGACTGTGACAGGATTCCTGTCTCCTCAGCAACGAAAACCACTCAGGGCCCCACCAGCACTGCAGCCACCACCGGAGTTGACACCAGTGTGAACAAGGGCGACACACATACTGGATCAAGTCCCCTGAGTCCGGGAACTCTGGCTGGAGTGGCAGCAGCAGGTGCCGTGCTCGGAATTGCAATTCTGGGACTTATTCTCTACCTCAGTTGGAAGAGAAGCAAAGGTAAGTGATCCTAGGTCTCAACCCTTTCCCCAACCTTCCTGAGTGTTTCTCACAGTTCACCTGCATCAGGAAAAGAGGTACCTGGGTAAAAAGATGCAGGTTCTGGGGCCAAAGAGATAGTATAGTAAGATGCTTTACCTTACTTGCACCCAGCCTTGCACCCTTACTTGCACCCGGGGCTGGAGCGATAGCACAGAGGTAGGGCATTTGCCTTGCACACAGCCAACATGGCTGACCCGAGTTCGATTCCTCCGCCCCTCTCGGAGAGCCCGGCAAGCTACCGAGAGTATCTCGCCCGCACGGCAGAGCCTGGCAAGCTCCCCGTGACGTATTCGATATGCCAGACACAGTAACAACAAAGTCTCCAATGGAGACGTTACTGGGCCTGCTCGAGCAAATCGATGATCAACGGGAGGGCCTTTACCTTTTACCTTTACCTTGCACACATCTGACACCAGGGCTAATCCCAGCATCATACACGGTCCCTGAGAAGAGGCAGGAGTCAGCCCTAAGTACAGGCAGGCGTGATCCCAAAACAAGCCAACAAAAATGCAGATGAGGGCAGAGAGTGTGAGCTGTGGAGCAAACACAGGTTCTAGTTGTATGTGTCCAAGGGACAGAGAGAAATAGCCCTAAAAGGTCAGTACAGGGTCCGGAATGATAGGACAGAGAGAAGGGCCTTTGCCTCGCCTATGGCTGACCCGGGTTCGATTCCCAGCATTCGATTCTCAGGGTCCCCTGAACACTGCCAGGAGTAATTCCTGAGTGCAGAGCCAGGAGCAACCCCAGGGATGACCAAAAAAGCAAGAAAAATACTGTCACTGTCCTCCCGTTGTTTATCAATTTGCTCGAGCAGGCCCAGTAACATTGTGAAACTTATGGTGTTTGGCATACCGAATACGTCACGGGTAGCTTGCCAGGCTTTGCCGTGCGGGCAAGATACTCTCCGTAGTTTGCCGGGCTCTCCAAGAGGGGCGAAGGGATTAAACTCGGGCTGGCTGTGTCGGCCGGGTGAAGGCAAATACCCTACCCACCGAGCTATCGCTCCAGCTCGCAAGAAAAATAAAACAAAATAAAAGGTCAGCACAGGCACTGGTTGGACAGGGCAGAAGTGATAGTGCTGATAGTCAGGTGGGGTGGGGGTGAGTGCAGTGGAGTGGGGGGATCAGAGGGAATAATTGGGGGGTGCAGGAGCACTCAAGGAAGAGAAGAGGTGGCAACAGGTTGGCGAACAGGGTGAAAGGTGCAGGCGCAGAGATTGGGCTACTGGTTGGTTGCTGAGGAAAGGGCAAGTGCGGGTCTCAGGGGGACTGCATGCCAGGCTCTCCCCAGGAGGGCCTCAGTGGTGCTGTTTTGCGGCTGGTCTAGGCAGAGCCCTGGGGAGGGAGGACAGAGGCCACCAAGAGATGACACACTGACACTTCTGTTGACCCCCTCCAGGTAGCAAGGCAGCAGAAGACACCCCAGCCAGGTGAGTTCTTGTTGAGGGGGAGGGGTGCCTGCGGGACATTGGTTTAAGAAAGGGGGAACTTCTTGATAAAAAATCAGTCAACAGGGCTGGAGCAATAGCACAACTGGGAGGGTGTTTACCTTGCATGCGGCCAACCAGAGTTCAATCCCCAGCATCCCTTATGGTCCCTTGAGTGCTGCCAGAAGTAATTCCTGAGTGCAGAGCCAGGAGTAACCCTGAGCATCACTGGGCATGACCCAAAAAGGAAAAAAAAAGGTCAACTTTCCTCACTGCATCCTCCACTCACAAGGTCCCCTTTACTTCCTGGGCCTCCTCTCCTCAAAGCACCCACAGCAGCAACTGTCCCAACATTTCACTGACTCGTGAAGCAGAAGAATCCTGTTTTCTTCCATGGTTCCTGGCATTCCTCGTCTCCATTTCTAGGTTTTTCTTTCCTTCGTTCTTTTCTCTCTTCCCAAACCCACCTCACTCTTCCTTAAGTTCCTCATTTTGCCCCTCAGCCTATCTGCTCTTCCCACCCCTCCCCAGGAAGCTCACCTCTTCCTCCTCACCGCACTTCTTCCTTTCTCTCCAGTTTCCATGCTGTTCTTCCAAAAAGCCTCCCTCCCCCCCTGCCACCCTCTGAACTTTCACCGTTGCTTCCTTAAGTCCCCTCCAAGTTCAGTGTCAACCCCAAGGTCTCAGCACGCACACAGAAAATCTGAGACTGACTTCTTTGCTTTGCTCCAGGGTCTGGGGAGTGGGGGGAGGGGAAGGGTTTCCCAAGCGGTATTCAGGAGACCCAGAGGACCTTCCAGAAGTGTCATGGAGGGGACAGGAATTCACCTTTGTGACTTCTCCTCCCTGTGTCCCTTCCAAGAGAAATTGCTTTTCTTAAACAATTTAGGCCCAGTGAGCACTCGGGAACCTTTCCTGGGCTATACTGCACTTGCTCTCCTCCATCTCCTCCTGAGATGCCCAGGCCGAGAGCAGCAACAGTCCTGATGAGGCCTTGACTCCTTCCTGCCCAGCCTCTCATATGTCTCACGTCTCCTTCCTACACAGGGAATCCCTCCAAAATACAGAGTGCAAATACGAGAACGTGGAGAATAAAGGTAAGCGCGGACCTGTCACTCTCCACCCTTGGCTCTTCTCCTCACACACTTCCTCTCTCTACCTGAGCCCCATTCCGTTCCTTCCTGCCCCTCCCGCATGCCCCTGGTCCTGCCCGAGCTAGCAGACGACTCATTACTGGGCCCTCTGCCCACTTCTCTGTGCTGGCTGGCATGTCACCTGACCTGGAATATCTCAATTTTTCCCTAGGACACCGTATAGATGCCAAGCTGGATCCTACGGTGAGCAGCTCGAATGAGATCATGAGAGTGAAAGAAAATGTAGAGAACGTTGCCTAGAAGGACGGAGGGACTGTGGTCCGGGCGGGGCCTTCGGGAAGGGGGTGGCTACTCTAGGACGGGGTATCTTGCCCTCCCATCTGATCTCCTTTCTCCCTTCTCCCCCAGGATGATGGCATCACCTATGCCTCCCTTTCCCTCTCTCAGTTAACTTCACCAGCAGAACCCTCCCGCCTCCATCCCCACAGAGGCCCCCAGGAAGAAACCCTCTACTCTACCTTGAAGACCTAACAAGCTGCCCAGGACCCGCAGCTCACAGTACTCACTCCAGCCAGACACAGATGACAATGTTTGACTTTCCCCAGTCCTGGGAGGTACAGCCATCTGCCCCAGCACCCTCTTCCATTCCTCTCCAACATACAAATAGAAGGACCTGGGAATTGGCAGAGAAACTCTACGAGAAAATGTCGAGAAGAGACCAGAGAGGTAATAGAGTAGATGAGGCACTTGCCTTGCACATAGCCAACCCTGATTTGATCCCTGGCACCCCCTAAGTGATCCCCTATGTGACACCAGGACTGATTCCCTGAGCATGAAGCCCAAGGACTACTGGGTGTGTCCAAAGAGTGAAGAGAAACAAACAAAACCAGACATCACCTTCCACTGGTTCTTCCAGCCTAACCCAAGCTGACGAAACGCTCAACCCCGAGACCCTCTCTGGGACTTCTCCTCAGTCAGTGACAGCATCAGGCCACCCTCAGCGCTGACAGCCAGTTGGGCCCCATCGAGGTCCCTTCAGGCAGTCCTGAAGGTCTCCCCACCACACAGCCTGGCAGGGTCTGAGTCCAGACTAGTGTCCTTCTCAGAGGACTTTCCAGAGCTGCCTACTCCACAGGCCTCCCCTGGAAACAATGATGTGAAAGCCACATGTCGGGAGGGAGAGGGGCCCAAAGAAGAATCTGGTGAGAGGGGAACAAACCAATTAAACCAGGAGCCTATTTTATTAGCATATAAACTGCACAACTACTAAACAATTTTGAAACCTTTCAGCCTCTCCGGAGCCAGGACCCCTCTGAGAAGCTGTCCCAACTACTCCTCAGTGGAGTGCACGTCCCCGCCGTCTCTCTACTGGAGCTCCTCCTTCTGCTCAGGGTCTCTGTCAGGCTGCTCCAGGTCCAGGTCACTGGAGACTTCATCACCAGAGGGGATACCATCATGCTTCGGAGGCAGCAGCTCTTGGGGTCCAGACCCCTCTGTTCCCGCCATGGAGTAAACTCCACAATGAACTGGTGGGATCAAGGACTTTAGCACAATTCTTGCTTCTTTGTCGATAAACAAGCTGGTTTGTGAGTCCTTGCTTTGGGGAGTTTTAAACTTTTTCTTAGATCCTAAGTGAAAAGTGGTAAAATTGAGAATCCTATTAGGGCATATCTTCACTTTTCACAAGCCAAACTCATTTTGAATATCAAATTCTGCCTCCCACTCCCCTGCAAAAAAATTTGACCTATATCAATAGAAAGGGTATAACTCTGAAGTCAGAAAGATCTAGATTCAAGTCAAGAATCTACTACAGGGGCTGGAGCGATAGCACAGTGGGTAGGGTGTTTGCCTTGCACGTGGCTGACCCCGGGTTCGATTCCCAGCATCCCATATGGTCCCCCAAGCACCATCAGGAGTAATTCCTGAGTGCACAAGCCAGGAGTAACCCCTGTGCATTGCTGGGTGTGACCCAAAAAGAAAAAAATATATGTATATATATACTACATAGGGACACTGGTATGTACCCAATTTCAAACACTTCAAATATCAATCTCATCTTTAAAAACAGCCAAACAGGGGCAGAGAGATCATGTTAAGGCTCTTACCTAACATGTTTTAATCTCCAATACCACATATGGCTGCCTGATCACTGCATCTGAGCAGAGCCAGGAAAAGCTCCTGAACCATAGTGTGGCCCCCAAATCACAATTAAAAAAATAAAATGCCAAATATCGAGTCATAGAGATAGTTAAAGAATTAAAGGGAATAAGCATAGCCAGCCCATGGCAGTACTCGCAATTTTTTTTAAATATTTGAGTAAATTTTATTTAAGAAAATACAAGTAATTGAAAAAAATGAAAACCATGGAAAGGTTGGTCTTTATCAATACAAAGAAGAAAATTACTTGTGAATTGGTTCCAACATAAAGTAAATATCTCACACAAATTTAACAGATATAGTTTCTTTTTGCTAAATGTATGCTTGAATATTTTGACAATAGAGAACAAAGATAAATAAAGCAGATGAGTGTATAGGAAACACCTGTATGTGCATGTACATTAACAATTTTCCATAAAAAATGTTAAATAAGTCCTGATCCGTTTCTTTCAACAGTCACTGACTTAAAATGCCTCACAACTCACACTGATATTACCTAATATACGAGTGGTCAGAACAATTTTCAATTCATTGCTTGCCTGAGGAGAAAAAGCCAAAGTATCTACATTCCCATATAGAATGAAAAATCAAAAAACTCTGTGGGAAACAAAATATGTATGATGACAGTTTTAGGACATAGTTTTCTTTCCATCTTTAGTAGAAGAGATACAGTATTGAGAACAGTTATCACTCCACTAATTCAATTATTTAATATTGTTATATCATACATCAATATTCAGGAGCTTCTAGAACATATTGTTGAAATCTATTTATTCAGTCATCTTACAATTTGCTTACAATATAACAAAACCAATACTTCTATTTTGTACATTGAAATCTGTATACTAAATAATTTTATTCAGTCATCAAATCTTAATAGTTAAATATTTTCATATTTATTGAATAATGTTGCCAAAATTTTAAATACATTTAAATTGAAATTTTAAAAAATCATCATCTTTTTTTTTAGGTTTATGGTACCATTGATGCTTTCCTTTAGGAAGAAAAATGTTGATATGTAGGATTTTTCTAACTCAGGATTTTAGATATTCTGTGAAACTAAACAAAATAAATTTTGTCCTTCATACCTCTTTTTATATATTCTAATTAGTCTTTCTCTTGTTTACTCTCTCAGTGTTAATCCCTGCTTTCTCCTGCGCAGAGATCGAACGGGAATTGTAACCATTGCTTTTCTACAGTATACTACATTCAATAATGTGAAAGATGTTCTTCTGGCAATTTTGGTAACTAATTAAGAACTCAGAAGCTACAGAATTGTAATGATCCAAAGAGTCAAGATATGAAGCTCATTTCTCCAGTTTTTTCCCACTATTTGAGACTTACTTGGCTGGTCGAGGTCTGACTTGGCTTGTCCTTTCTTTCCTGCTGAAGCTGTAGGGTCACTTCCCAGAGATCTCTTCATTACCTTCTTTTGCAGAGTCCCACCTTGACCACGAGCTGTACCTGTATCACCTCACCACACAATCACAAAGAATATTGACTTATTTCTCTTTGGGGGGAGGGTATCTCCCAAGAAATGCTCGAGAGGCCTGGGCTTCTCTCCTGGCGATTTTTGGCCAACCGAACCAAACAGTTCAATGCTAGGGTCCCAATACACAGTGCTACGTTGTCCCTGCAGTGCCAGGAACCAGCAGCAATACTTCGGGGACACCACGGTCATACTCACGGTGCTTGTGAAACCACAAAGTGCCAGGGATCAAACCAGAATCCCACACGTAAAGAATGTACCCCTGACCCCTGTGCTATCTCCCCAGCCATGGATTATTTCTCTTTAAATGACAACCTAGCAAGGATCTATGGACTCCCCCATTAAGTTTGTTCTAATATGTAATCAAGTGAATTATCTCAGCTCCTTTCCCCTTCCTAATCATGATTCTTTTCCCCCAAGATCTATTCCTCTTTATGATTCTCCTTAGAATCTGCTAGACAGTACAGCAGGAAGAGTGCTTGTCTTGCAAGCGGCCAATCCAGGTTCAATCCCAGGCATCCCATGTAAGGAATGGAGCCACGCCTGAGGACAGAGCCAGAAGTGAGCTTTGAGCGCCACCTGGTGTGACCCCAAAACAAAACAATATAAAATTTGCCTTCTCCAGGATGTTATCCTTAACTAAGAGTTTGAGATACTCATTCCATTTTTAACTAAGATTTTATAACTTAATACATAAAAATGAGACATCTAGAGTTTCTCTGATAACATTAGCTTACTTCCTCAGGTTTGGAACTAAGACAGTAAGGTCTGGTTACATGCAAGCTACTTCCGCTCTGTTTCTGTCCTGCCTTAACACATGTGCCACATGGCCCATTCCCAGCTGGATATCTTACCTCTTGCTTTGGATTTTTTGGTTTTATTTTTGTGTACCTTGTGACTGGACAAAGTTGTATCCTGAAGAGAGCAAACGGAAATAACAGATAAACAAAGTCACATAATTGTGGATTACTTTTTTTTCTTCTTGGGCCACACCAAGGTGATGCTCAGGACTTACTCCTGGCTGTGTTCAGGGATCACTCCTGCAAAGCTCAGGGGATGATATGAGGTGTCAGGAATTGAACTTGGGTGAGCCACATGCAAGGCAAGCATGTTGGGGCTGGACTAAACCATCAGGGTGAGCCCCTGTAGACTGCACCATACAATGGGCAGAAACCATAGGGACCCATGAAAATGGATGAGATTTCTCGTGTGTCCTGACTGGTTTGGATGAGGCTGAATATCTTTTCCCCTTCAAACTGCCTTCAGTAAATAATTTTAGTATATTGAAAGGGGCAGTTTTCCTAGGCTTGAGCAATAGCACAGCAGGTAGGGTGTTTGCCTTGCAGGCGGCCCACACAGCCAACCTGAGTTCGATTCCTCCACCCCTCTTGGAGAGCCCGGCAAGCTACCAAGAGTATCTCGCCCGCACGGCAAAGTCCGGCAAGCTACCCATGACATATTCGATATGCCAAACACAGTAACAAGTCTCACAATGTTACTGGGCCCACTTGAGCAAACCGATGAACAAGGGGAGGACAGTGACAGTGACAGTGACACAGAAACCTGGCTGAGCTTTGACATGCAGATCTCAGGTGCTAGCCAGGCCTGATCTTTGACTTGTAGATTCCGGGGCGGGCTTGATCCCAGCTTAGTCTTTGGGATCCAAATCCAAGTGTTTGTAGCCCAAGAAAGGTTTCGGTTTTGGTTTTGTATCTTCTTTCCGGAGGCCAAAATTACTGGCCTGCAGATGCAAGGAAACAACATGTGCCATGCCTGCCTCAATGTTCTTTCTGTAACATCTTTTGATGACTTCACTGTATTGCGCCCTTCAGAGGTACCATGATCAATAAATGATACCCTACTGGTAACATTATTGTAAACCATGATGCCTAAAAAGGGAGGAGTGGGGAAAAAGAAAAAGAAAAAAGTGTCTACCATAAAGGCAAGCTGTAGTGCTGGAGTCCCTTTCTACCTGGAGACAATGGTAGAAGGAAGTGGACACTGATGAAGGGATTGGTGGTGGAATCCTGAATCTCAATCACAAATAACTTTGTACCTTTGTAATTCAAAGTGATTTAATTAAAAATATTTGTTTAGTGTCCTTTCTTCCCATTCTACTTGGTATTGGTTAATTCAAGCCACAACTGAAGGCTCATACTTCACATACATATATGAGGATTTGATCCCATGGAAATGCAAATATATGTATACATACATATGAGAGTGAACATTGCCAATTCAGAACTTCCAGTCTTCAGTTCTACATGTAAGAAATTTTATGCCATGTTTTAACAACGTTTAAAGCTGAACAGACTGAAAAGTCACCAACTCTGCTACAAGGCAGAGTGCTGCCTCAAGATGAAGCGAGATAAGGCCAATTCAGGGACAACCAGTTTTCCAGAGCATAAACTCATAAACAGAAGCCAGGGGAAGGAGTTAGTGCTAAGGCAGGAAAATCTCAACAGTAATAAATCAATTGCTGAAGGCACAATGAAGATGAAAATTAAAATTCCAGTTCATGCTGGTTCCTAGACTTAAAGATTTTATCTCAAAGAGCTGACCATTTGCTCACAAAAAATACCAGCAGAAAAGCCTTCATGTTTCTCGCAGCAGAAGAGAAAAATGAATCATTCTGAAACACACCCAAACACTGTATTAACAACTGTTCTCAAGATAAACTTGTTGGGCTGGAGTGATAGCAGAGCAGGGTAGAGCGTTTGCCTTGTACGTGGCCAACCGGGTTCGATTCCCAGCAACCTATATGGTCCCCTGAGCACTGCCAGGAGTAATTCCTGAGTGCAGAGCCAGGAGTAACCCCTATGCATCGCTGGGTGTGACCCAAAAAGAAAAAAAGAAAGATAAAAATTTGTTAACCAGAATTAATCTAAGCTGCTAATGTGAAATCAAACATAAATGTCTTACAGGTGACTATAGTCTACTCAACTCATCCTGTTCCACCTGAGATCAAAGAAAGCAAGAAACACTTAGGAAGTTTAGCTCAGAGGACTGGTTCCTTAAAAGCCATGAAACAGGGGCTGAAGCAATAGCAAAGCAGGTAGGGCATTTGCCTTGCACACGGCTGGCCTGGGTTCGATTCCCAGCATCCCATATGGTTCCCCAAGTACCATCAGGAGTAATTCCTGAGTGAAAAGCCAGGAGTAACCCCTGTGCATCGCCGGGTGTGACCCAAAAGCAAAAAAAGAGTCTGTCAGCATTCAAACCTGGGACTTGGCTTTCTCCTTGTACACACCTCAGGCATCCTCTAGGACCCTGGGACACTCACCATCCCTGAGCCTCTTCCTGTTCATCCCCAATGCTGTGCCGGTCTTCTTCCTCTCGCAGGTTGTACCCCCCACACACCCCAGGCACCTGTAGGGGGCGTGGCCCTTCAGAAGTGGGCGTGGCTTCTGTGAGAGTGGGCGTGGCCTAATTTGGGCGAGCCGACATTCACCCCGTTGCAGGTAATCTACTCGTACCCAGCAATCTAAAGTAACATCCCAGTCTCCATACCTCCACACCAACATGAAGAAACAACGCAAATCCCCACCACATGGGGAGGATGAGGAAAAGAGTCCAAAAGCCTCAGTAGGTGCTACTCACCTAAGGGACCTCTCTGAGAAAGAATTCAGATATGAAGTAATGAAGATGTTTAATGAACTCAATGAAACAGTGAGACAAATACCCAGTAAATTGAAGGAGGACATGAAAGAAACAATGGATCAGACAATCGAGAAAGTCAGGAAGAAATTAAAGCAGAAATTGGAAAGCTTCGCAAAGAAATGTCATGAATCAAAGATTCTGTAGATGAAATAAAAAACTCAGTCTGTGCCCCCAACAGTAGAATGGTCACAGCTAAAGACAGAATCAGTGAGCTGGAAGATGAGCTGCACGAAGCCAACAGGAACAACAAACAATGGCAAGAGACCTCAAAATAGCTTGAGAGCAAATCAGAGCCCTAGGAGATCATTCCAAGAGGAACAACATTAGAATCATTGAAGTACCAGAAGGTCAGGAAAACAATCCCAATGAAAAAGCCACGGTTAAACAATCATTGCTGAAAAATTCCCAGAGCTGGACAACGCAGCCATTCAGATTCAAGGAGCTAGAAGGGTGCCAGCTAAAAGAGACCCTAACAAAAACACTCCAAGACATATCACAGTTAGAATGATGGATACCGCAGATAGAGACACAATACTACAAGCATCAGGGTCAAAGAAGGAAATCACATACAAAGGAGCACCCCTTAGATTCATAGCAGACCTATCAGAGGAAACCCTCCAAGCCCGAAGGCAATGGTGGGATATAGTGAAAAAAACTCACTGAAATGAACGCTTCACCAAGAATACTCTATCCGGCTAAACTCTCACTCAAACTCGAAGGAACGGTACACTATTTTCTGGATAAACAGCAGCTCAGGAAATTTATAGACTCAAAACCAAACCTAAAAGAAGGGCTAAAGGGGCTACTATAAAACAAGACAAACCCTACAAGCACAACAAGGTTGAAGATAAGTATGGAATCCCCAGCATCCCTAACCATCACCAGGAATAATTCCTGAGTGCAGAGCCAAAGTAACATGAGCATTGCCAGGTGTGTACCCTCCTGCTCAAAAAAAAAAAAGTTATAAAGCATTTAAGAAGAAATTAAGCTAATTTAAGTTTGGGACCACACCTGGGAATACTCAGGGCGTTCTCCCGGCTCTGTGCTCAGGAATGACTCCAGACAAGCTTGGGAGACCATAGGAGGTGCTGGGGATTGAACCCGGATCAGCCACATGCAAGGCAAGTGCTCTATCTGCTGTAAGATTGCTCCAGCGCCAAGAAATAAACTTATTTTTTGAAGACATATCCCCAGCCAATAGGAGGGGCTGGAGCGATAGCACAGCGGGTAGGGCGTTTGCATTGCACACAGCCAACCTGGGTTCGATTCCCAGCATCCCATATGGTCCCCCAAGCACCGCCAGGAGTAATTCCTGAGTGCAGAGCCAGGAGTAACCCCTGAGCATTGCTGGGTGTGACCCAAAAAACAAAAAAAAAATGTTTTAGTAGGGGCTGGAGCAATAGCACAGCGGGTAGGGCATTTGCCTTGCATGCAGCCAACCCGAGTTCCATTCCCAGCATCCCATATGGTCCCCTGAACACCACCAGTAGTAATTCCTGAGTGTATGAGTTTCTGTGCATTGCTGGGTGTGACCCAAAAAGCAAAAAAAAAGAAGTTTTAATATAAAAAACATATCTCAAACATTCAAAACTAGGTCTGGATAGTACAGCAGGTATGGCACTTGCCCTAATATTAAAAAAATCTGTATTTCATAAACAAAGATTAATGGAACAAGTTCCGGAATATCCTCAATGACCACATTAGGGGAAAGGGGAAAGTAAAGAGCTGCAACCAGTCAAACTGCTCCAATAAAAACCAAAAAACTATAGTAGTAACTGAGATGATAATCAAGAAATCAAATTTCCAGAGGTGTGAGACATTACTAAGAAGAGAGATTTTTTTCCTTCTCTTGGGTATCCCTAAGAGAGAATAACAGTCAGGATTACTCTGAAGCTTCTTAGCAAATATAAATCCATGCTAATATGATGCCCTGTTGAAATTGTCTAAAAGGAAACTCCAAGATCCAGCTTACTTTTATCTGTTCCTCCATTTCCTCTTCCTCTGGTGTTTCCTCTTCATTTTCCAGAGAAGAATTTGGGCTATCGTTCCCTGAGAGCATCACATCAGAAACAGGAATAGGAAGGAAACATAAAATTGTTTCCCCAATAAAATGGGCAATGAGTTCATGGCATTCTAACAGAGAATGTCCAAGTAGCATTTTGGGCTAGGAAGTCAGGAGGTGGGTAGTGTGTAGAGGAAGGAATACCACCCTCCCTCTGCAATTCTCATCTTCATCCCTTTCCTACCTTTTTCTTCACTACTGAAAGATGCACTGTAACGGCTCCAGAAACCAAACATGTTAATTCGCCTCTGAAGGAATCAAAAAACAAACCATCATCCATTACTCTCCCAGTAATGTCTTTGATCTGTGCTTCTACATTTTAGCTATGGGATTTATTTGTTTGGGGACCACACCTTTGTGTGGTTCAGGGCTTACTCCTGGCTCTATGCTCAGGGATCACTCCTGGTATGCTCAGGGCAGGGAACTGAACCCAACTGGCTGCATGCAAGGCAAGTGCCTTAGCTGCTGTACTGTCTCTCAGACCCCTTTGGGATTTATATTTATATTCCACACTATTTTCACTTGAAATTTCACATTAGATTTTTCTAGATTTTTACAGATTAACTATTATACATAATATGTAATTAGGTAGGCAATACTATAGCATATAATTATATTCTAACTTTCCAATATTCTTGTAATTCAGTTAAAAAAAAACAGCAGAGGAAATCATTGCTTATTATTCTCCACCCCACACCAAAGCAGAATTTACAGATAAAAACTGATCCTAGATAGGGGCCAGAGTGGTACAGCGGGTCGAGTGCTCCTTGCATGCAACCGACCCAGGTTCAACCCCTGTTACCTTTCATAGTCCCTCAAGCCTGTCAGAGTGCTCCCTGAGCACAGAGCTAGAAGTAAGCCCTGTGCACCCCTGTGTGTGGCCCACCCCAAAACATCTGGCTGCATAAAACAGAGATTAAAGCACACATATCTAAAACTTAAAGTTAGATAGGAAGGAAGGATGCCTCCCAAAAACAAACTGGGTGCAAGAAGAGTCCGCTCATCTGAGAGTATCAGAACATAATGGATAATTTAAGGATGCAGGGGAATCTGCGTTGGGAAGAAAATACTAGTTGTAAGACTGTGTAATGGGGAAAGACTAAGGCAGTTTTCTGCAGTAGAGAAGGTAAAGTTTGCTTTCTGTCCTCAGTCCCACAGCGGAGGAAGCATGTGGTCCCACAGTCGCCCACCCGAACACTAATCTTTTCTGCTTCTTGAGCCATGTTCAAGGCTGTCCTCAGTTTCTGGCTGCAGTCCTTGTTCTTGCACTTTTTCTGAAACAGAAGATTTAAAGGTAAATGACAAATGTTAGAGACGTGACCCTGTCATACAACAACTCACCAACACTACCTTTAAATGCCTTTATTTGTTTTTGTCCCAAGATTAATATATCGCCAATCTTAATCTTTTGAGCTAAGAGTCCAAAGTTTTAAGCCCTGTAACAAACTGTTAAGCAATTCCTAGCTATATTTTATCCCTCACATCAAATGGGTGTATAGCTGACCAGGGTCTGATTCACGGCACACTATATGGTCCCCCAAGTGCAGAACCAGGAGTAACCCCTGAGCATCACTGTGTATGACCCAAAAACCAAACCAAAAATGAGTGTTTCTCCAGTACTTGGGAGAGACCCAGCATCTACTCCTGGTGATACTCGGCGTGATGGTGCAGGGCTGACAGTACAGAGCGCCAGCCCAGCACTACTGTTCTCAGGAAACACCAGGGCCATACCTAGTAGTACTTGGTAGTCCTAAGGTGTCAAGGACCAAACTCAAGGGCCTCATACACCTCTATAAGCTGGATCCCCAAGGAAATTTTGATATGGCAAGATTAAGATTAAAGTTTTGGGCTGCTGGATTCTGCTCATTTATAAGACTGATCAAACTAGTGATTAAAGGAAAAAATATTTTTCTGTTATCACTGGTTCTTAAGTAGGGGTGTCTTTGCCACAGAAGAAGTAAAGACACTGTTTTGATTATCGAAAGGTGGTAAGGGTTAAGTGTTCTAAAAGAGTCCAGATGCTGCTAAACACAGAACAATGCACAAGACAACCATCACCAAACAAAATCCCAAATGAATAGGGCTAGACTGAGAAACCTAGAGTTCACCCATGGCCTCGTTTCTGCAACACCTGGCTAAACTGCAGAAGACCATAGTTTTCAAGAATGCACCTATACATAAGCAGGGCAGTAGAAGGAGAAAAAGAATTCCCTGGGACTGAAGACTCCAGGCCACACGACCGTGGGGACAGACCATCCCTTCCCTTCTCCCTGCCCCTTCAGGTCCTGGCTGTCATGTCCATGAACTGCCTCTGGGCAATATTTAAGTGTGTCACAGCCTTGATCCAAAGACTCACAATGCATCTCAAAATGGATTATCTTCCTACAGAGATGTCTCTGTACTCCAGTCATTTACAATTTTAGAATACCAGGAGCACAAAGCTGCTTTCACAGCCACACGACCTTTCATGATATTCATAATAAGCAACAAAAAATAAGTTATCTAGCATCTGCCTGTGGCAGACAGGCTTGAATGGCGGTGGGAAAATTTGAAATAATAATGTTGGGAAGGTGTATTGATGGTGGGATTGGTGTGAAATATTGAATGTAATCAATTAATGTGAACAACCTTATGAAAATAAAATTTAAAAAAAATAAGAATTCCCCTGGAGAAATCCTGGCATAAGGAGGAGACCCTCAAGAAAAACTTCAGGTCTGCACACCAAATCAGACAGAGGACTTTCTCCTTACACAGATTTCCCTCAGATAAAATTAGGTTTAATAAAGTCAAGATTTAGTCTCCAAGTTCCCAAAATCACAACTGACCCTTTCCCCCCACTCTGTCACCCCCAAAGATTGCTCACCACTCCAGAGAGCTCCCAGGAAAGCTCCTGAAAATTTTTTAGCATGTTGACAGGGATCCAAGCACGAGAGACTGTTTCTCCAAAAAAAGTCACATGATACTTAGACTGAAATTAAAAATGGTTCTGTTATAGTCTAGCATTCTTTACCTGTTCTGGACACATAGCAAGAAAAGGGGGGGGGGGGTGCACGCGCGCAGTGATCCAAAGATTTACAAGGAAGGCACTAGACATCCCATCCCATCTCACACCATTGTTCTTGCATCCTGACCTCAGGAATCCTAACCAAAGCATCTCTGTCACTATCATAAATGTCTTAGTAGTGAATAAATGTTTAGATTTATTTGTTTCTATATGTATTTGTGTTTGTCCTTCTAAATAGCAACTTCAACTCATATCTGTTGCTTAAGTCTGTATTTCTAACTCTGAAAAGACAGATTTGTTCCTTACCCTAGGCTAAGCACTTACCTACCCTGAACCATAAAAACTTACCGGCAGGGAATCAAGATGAGAAGCAAAAAGAAAATATTCCCCCAGATCAGGATCAGATTCTACCATGCCTGGCCACCTGGAGATGACAGATGGGTGACGGAGATGGAAGAGAAGAAATAAGATAAACAGAAACACAGACTTATTGATATAATGTGTGCATAAATGGGCAATATGTTTTTGCAACAAAGGATCCTAAAGATAGATCCTTCTGGGATTTTCTGCTGACTGGATCGTTTTGAGGCTTCAGTGAAGGGTACGATGAGTACATATGCTTACAAAGCTAATAAGCTGTATCTCTGAAATTCTACACTGTAAACTAATCATATATCAAGAAAAAAGAGGCACCTCTGCCAATTCACCACAATGCCACTACCAAATAACTGAAAAGAATCCCACCAATGTAGATACAAGCTCAAAATCTTCTTAGTAAAAGTATCAGATCCTTGTTGATCTTCCAGCAACCCTGAGGGAAAAAACCTGCTGACTAGGGACATCTAAAAAAAACTGCTATCCCTCCTTATTCTCTTTACTTTTTGTATCTTACATATCTCACTGGTTTTTGAAATGCCTTAAAAGCTACCCACCTCTTTCTACTTACTCAGGGTAGAATTTGTCAGGCCTTGGGATAGAGAGATGCATTTAAGGGTTTAGTGCGTGCTTTGTGTGGGGAAGGTCTAGGTTGGATTCCTAACACCACAGAGTCCCCTGAGCACCACCAGGAATGACCCCGAGCCCCTAAGTCCCAAGCTTTGAAGCTTTGTCAGACACTTTTTTTTTAAAGGAAGATACCACTTTTTCCATGAAACCTCTAGAAAACATGTTCTTGCAAAGTTTTCAAGGTTTGTACTTTATTCTATTCCCTCATCCCATGTTCTTTTAAGGGAGATACTATCTCCATTATAAATGCTTTCCTTTTCCTTCCTTCCTGATTTAAATATACCTCTCCCATTCATGAAGAATTCAGAGAATGCCGTGGTTCCCTACCAGGGGTAGCCATACTGCTTTGCCCAGATGATGGATCCTGGGATGTAGGAGGCATAGGCCACCTCACCTTCACCCCCCGTCCAGATCTCCTCAGGGACAGTACAGCAATTATACTGCAAGTCTGCCAAAAGAGAGAATGAAAATCAGAAACAAGGCTTATTAGGTGAAAATCTGAATGAGAGTGAAGGAAAGAACAAGAAGAAACTAGAACATGTGAGAGCGGACTAGAAGGGAACCTGGAGGACAGTATAAAGGAAGAAAAACAAAGACACATGAAGGAAAGCAGGAAAGTCAGTAACAGAATTTTGTTTCTTCACACTAGAAAAAGAGATTCCAAGCTTCTTCCTATATTCCACATTGTCTTTGTAATACCATAATAGCACCTTCTCTGAAACTGTTTCCTCATCTGTAAAATAACTGGGTTGGACTATATCATCAGAATCTCTTCAACGCAGTTCTGAACTTCTAGAATTCTAGGTCACTGGATCTCTTACTTGCTTTCCCCCGTTTCTCTTCCTGTCCACTAACTTAATACCAAAAATCTAATCAGGATAGGTAGGATCAGACCAATGCAGAAGAAAATGGAGTTCACTCCAAAAATACATTCGGATTCCAGGCCCTTCCCCACAACAGAACTCATTAGGGTGGCCTCCTCAGACCCATTATGCTCATATTTATCTTGAGAAAAATTCCTCCCTAGTTCCCAAGTACTACACAAGAACACCTGGAAATGCAGCTAACCTGTATCATATCTAATCTAAATGATATATGGAGAGAAATAAAGGAAGAAACACTGCAAAATGAAAAAGAACAAACCTGTATTTTGATCACAGGACCAATTTTCTGGAAGGGCTGCAGGGTCAATGTCCCCATGCAGCCGCCTCCATTTCTTGCAGTTTGCTGAGGAACACTGTACCCAGACCAGACACTGACCTGTGAGCAGAAGAAAAACAGAAAGAGACTCAACAATATGTTCTTTTTCAATTCAACTAAAATCAGTTTACCAACACACACACAGACACAGAATCATGTAGCCTAGATATCAATTGCCATTGACTTATTAATGAAAAAAACTAAGACTCTGAAATTGACATACTATCGCTTCTAGGCCTTTAGGCTAAGATCAAGTGAAACTGACATACTAAAGGTATGTCTGAATTGGGAACTGAGTTTGACTCGGAACTCAGGTGTCACATCTCAATCTTTCTCCTGAGCTATCACTCTCCTTCCCCGGGAGTCCCCATATTAATCTCAATTGACTTATCTGCTACCAAGTTGCAATCTTTGGGAATAGTCCAGAGTTTAACTCTAAAAGACATACATCTATACCTACTGTTTCTCAATCAACCTTTTACTTCAATTCCTGCCGAAGGACCAAGTATTTCTTTCGCCCATTCTTCCAAACCCCTATTCCCATTTTTCTCCATCCCCACATATTCTAAGTTAACACAATGTCTCCCCACCCCCACACACTACATGGAGTCCCTTCCTTCTAATAGACCTCGGGTCTCTCAGTCTATGAAATGGAGTCAGCATTATCAATATGCCTCAGTACCACCTCCATAAAATTACCATCCTCCCAGGGCTAGAGCAATAGTATAGTTGGTAGGGTACTTGTGTTGCATTAGTATCCTGGGTTCAATTGCCAGTAATCCATATGGTCCCTTGAGCCCACCAGGAGTAACCTCTAAGGGCAGAGTCAGAAGTAAGCCCTGAGTATTGCTGGGTGTGGCCCCATCACATCCCCCCCCCCAAAAAAAGAAAGAAAATTACCATCTTTCCTCCTTTTAAAACCCTGCTCTGAGGTCCATACCATGTGATTCCACTGCTCTCCCATTTCCCTTATGAAGATGTTGGCATCTGATTAAGTCTCCTTTCTAACTCCCATTCTTATTCCAGGTGACCACAAGAGTAACTCACAAATCACCTTGATTCTTTTGAGTACCTCACCTTTTATTCACACCATTGTCATTCAGAAACCCATTCCCATTCTTGCAATGCCCACACAAGGAACACATACTCCCCCGAAATACTTATCCAAATATCTCTAGTGAGATAGTAGAGAGTAGGGCACTCCCTATACACTTTCTCCTTAGGCAAGTTCACTTATTCACTTAGCTTAAAAACCCATTTTCATACCTAACAACAAAGAGATGTGCACCAGTGACTTCTGTTCCAAGCTCCAGAGCCTGGCAGGCATCTTGCTCTTTGTCACTTCTATTTAGATGTACCCAAAAGTTTCAAACCCAACACCCCCAAACCAGGAAGCTTGACCTACTGTATAAATACACTCTTTGTCCACTTTTCTCATTAGAACGTGAGAAACATCACAACAGTTTATTGTCCTGGACTAGCATGATAGGTATTATCACTGTCTTCTTGGAGTTTTCTTTCACGCATATACAAATCATATTATACTTCTCAAACCAACATTATAAACATACACATATACATAGTAAACATTAGCTTTTTTTTATTTTTTTATGTAGCAGTACTGCTATTTATTCAGCCACTGATTAGCTGAATGAATTGTGCGTGAACTAACTCCACCTTTCTTTTTTTTTCATTTTTTTATAATTTTATTTATTGAATCACCGTGAGAGCAGTTACAAAGCTTTCGGGTCTAAGTCTCGGTCATACAATGAAACACCCATACCTTCACCAGTGCCCATTCTCCACCACCAAAAACCCCAGTATACCCCCATCCCACCCCCTTCCCCTACCTGTGGGGCAGATGATTTACACATTACTCTCTCTCTACTTTGATCACATTCAATATTTCTACACCAGACCCACCATTATTATTTGAGATTTACCCCAACACTCAGATCTGCTGAAAAGGCAACAGTAGACAATTTGTGTTCTATTGCTGGTTATGAATAACATATGATGTCGCATGGCTGCAGTAGGGCCATGTGATTTTGAAATTCCGAAATTTTAACACTTAAATCTGGAGGGACTTCTGCCAAAAGCTGCTGGGGTTCTAGATTTGTTTCTGAGTCTCTGGGATCGTGGCCGTTAAGCAGCTTGATCAGGAGTCAGAGAGGCTGTTCGTGGGCGATGACTTGGGGTCTCGTTGGGGTGGGGAGGACAGTCCTGGCTTCTCCCCCATCCCGTGAGGCCCAAAATGTCTTGTCACTGTGGGCCCAGACCTGACTGTCCAATGGCCTCTGGAGGATGATGGCCACTGAGCCACCAAGGGGGAGCAGGTGGAGGGACAACATCCTTGTCCCCCTGGGGTGGCCCGGCGACAGTAACCTACTGCGGGGTCCGGATGCATTTCTGCCAAAAGCCGCTGGGTTTTGAGATTTATTTCTGAGTCTCTGAGATCATGGCCATTAAGCAGCTTGATCAGGAGCCAGAGAGGCCGTTTGTGGGCGATGACTCGGGGTCTCATTGGGGTGGGGAGGACAAAACATTAGCTTTTTTTACCATTGTCACTTACTTTGGGGTGTCTTGGGGATTATTTTGCCCTACTCTGTTTCTTCCCAGATTGATAAATCTACTAATTTCAAATTTTAAAAATCTATTTATTGTGAAGTTCATGCCCAATTCAATCAGCCTAATCAATGACTGAATAAATAGCAATACTCCTACATTAAAATATAAAAAAATAAATAATTAATTTATTGTCCAATTTATCTTATTTCTCATCCATCATATAAATGGGTTATAACCATCATATAAATGGGTTATTTCATACATTTATTAGCTAGTACACTGAAACTATAAATTCTATGACATGAAGAATTATCTACTTTGTTGACCATGGCATTTTTAGCACCTAGTAAATTCCAGACATGTATGCCTCTATTACTAAAAGATAATCCATTGATGGGACTGGAGCAATAGCACAGCTATAGGGCGTTTGCCTTGCACAGGGCTGGACCAGCTGAGCCGGGTTTGATTCCTCCACCCCTCTCTGAGAGACCGGCAAGCTACCGAGAGATCTCGCCTGGACGGCAAAGCCTCGCAAGCTACCCGTGACGTATTTGATATGCCAAACACAGTAACGAGTCTCACAATGGAGACGTTACTAGGCCTGCTCGAGCAAATCGGTGAACAACAGGAGGACAGTGCTACAATCCATTAATAGTTCAGCATGCCTGCCTCGCAGATATGAGGACATGAGTACAATCCTCTGCCCCTTCCCACATCTAGCAGCACTGCCTTTGGGATCCTTGAAACCAGACAAAAGTGCATCATCTCCAGTGCTCTATATCCAAGCATGTGGAAGCATCATAACTAAAGTATGAAACTTTTATAGTTTACTGCACTGCAACTAAACCTGTAAGCACCACAACCAAGTGTGGTCCCTATTCATTACAACAACAAAGGGAAAGGGAAAGGGGGTAAACTAACAAATTGATTCAAACAAATGAGGGGCTAAAGAGATAGTACAGAGGTGGGTGAAGGTGCTTGCTTTGAATGTAGCCCATCCCAGTTCAACCCCTAGAACTATATATGCCCCCCACGTACCACCAGGAGTGATACCTGAGCAGAGCTAGGAGTAAGCCTTGAACACCCCCAGATATGACTCTAAAATAAAACAACAACAAATGAATAATATACACCCATATCTTTATTTTATCCTATATCAAATACTCATTCTCTTCGATTTTTGCATCTCTATAAACAATTTTCCCTCAATATAAAATATGCTAAAAATGTAAGACCTTTTATGTTTTAATTTTCTCCTTTCATTTGTTGTTGTTGCAATGACTGGTGTCACAAGTACTTGGTTGCAAATCACCAGAGATCACACATTTTAATCACCCTCCAGTTCCCTTCATTGCTACTGCAATGACTAGAGGTAAAACAACTGGCTGTTACACTCTTCTCGGTCAGTAGGGTCACACACCAGGTGTGGTGCTGGCCAAGGATTAAAATTCTTGGTTGCAACAGGGGTTGCTGTGCTTGCCAGGAATCACACCCTTTTGTTGGGAAGCTTATACACACACTCAGCTGTGATGCTGACAAAAATCCAAGTGCCAGAAATCACAAACAAAAGAACTGCCAGAATCACACTCAGTTCATGTCATGGCACCAGAGAGTAAACTCATGATATTATGCTAATAAAACAGATAAGTCAATGAGCTATTTCTCAGGGTCCTAAGTTCACACATTTTGTTGGGATACTGGGTATTGAACTCACTGCCTAATGCCTGCAAGGTGGATGCTTGAGCAACAATCTATCCCACTCCCCAGGAAACTTTTATTTTAAAAAGAATAAACACTTTCCTCAACTCTACACCTATGCTTCTCTACCATTTTCTCCCTCCAATTTTTCACATCTAACAGTGTGTGTGGGGGGGGGGAGGGCTGGAGCGATAGCACAACGGGTGGGGCGTTTGCCTTGCATGCAGTCAACATGGCCGACCTGAGTTCGGTTCCTCCGCCCCTCTCGGAGAGCCCGGCAAGCTACCGAGAGTATCTTGCCTGCATGGCAAAGCCTGGCAAGTTACCTGTGAGGTATTCAATATGCCAAACACAGTAACAACAAAGTCTCACAATGGAGATGTTACTGGGCCCGCTCAAGAACAGTAGGGGAGAAAGTACTTACTTTCCAACTAACTATAATCTGCTATTCACCTTTAACTAACATAAATGTTCTCATCAACCATTTACCCTAATGACTTTTTAACTATTATATCCATTGAACACATTTACAAATATTTAATCTCTTTGAGGTTTGGAGAGATAGTCCAGCAGGTAGGGTATCTGCCTTGGATGCAGCCAACCTGGGTTCAACCCCCTAATACCACACAAGGTCCTCAAGTTCTACCAGGAGTGATACCTGAGCAGAGTACTAGGAATAAACCCTGAGCATCTCCATGTGTGGCCCAAAACTACAAAAAATAAGTAAATATACTTACCTCTTTGATGTCTAAAGTTGCATGTGACACAGCTAAATACTCTTTATTGAAATTCTCTCTTCTCCTGAATACCTCATTCACAGAGTTTCCCATACGCCTTTCTAATTTTCTTAGCTTTCAGTTTTCTTCCTGACCAATTCTTCCTCTGTTCAACCCTGCTTCCCAGGGATTTTTATTCAACATTTTTTTATTCAATACTCTTCCCTCTTCTTGAAAATGTTTTAATTTCTACTGATACAGATGACTTCCAAATCTGTATTTCTAGCCCAGATCTCTTTTCTTAGCTCCAAATCTCACAGCAGACCCCTAACTGATCCAAAACTAAATTCATCAACTTAAACTTACTCTCTTTTCTGTATTCTCCATTTCAAATCATGACTATATCAGCCACTCAGTCCCTAATGCCAGAAATCATACCAAGTTTTCCCCAGGGGTCTTACTCTTTCTCGGTTTTCATTATTCACACTCCTATACATCTCAAATCTGTCTTTTCTTTTGTCCTACTATCTTCCTTGCTTGGATTACTATTTCTGAGGGTCTCATCTCACTGCACTAATGCATATTCCACAGTACCACCAAAACAAACTTTCTGAAAGTTTTATCAAGTTTTTCCTACTTAATGTCACTATTTTAATAAAGTAAAAATACAGTTTCCTTAGTCTGACTTAAAATGTCCTTATGACATGGCCCTGGGATTGCTCTAGTCTTATCTATCGTGACACTATAGCCTCATAAACCCCAACACACCCAAAAGTAACAGCCATTAACTCCTTAAATGCTAATAATTATCACCCTTCCTCCCCTTCCCACTTTAGGTCACCTGACTAAATTATATTTCAAGACCTGATACAAGCACTACTTTCTCTTGGAAACTTTTTGAGATCTCTCAACTTGGAGTCTATTTCCCTTACAATACACTTCTATTCATTTCCACAGCATTAACGCAGCACTTTCTAAAATGCTAAGTACCTAGTGGACACCCAACAAATTAGGGCGATATTAAGGAATACTTGCATGAATAAAATCTTTCTCCTGCTCAGCAGAACATCCTTACAAGTAGCTTAAAGTAATAAATTCATCTTCATAGAAATTTCTCAAATCTCCTATCCCTTGTCTCTCACACATGAATCTCTAATTTTCAAGCCCAAGAAGGTTTTCTAAATCAAGGCTGAACTCACCAAAACCACTCCCCTCTCCTTTTTGTTGGTCCTGGATCTGACAATGAGGTTCAACTATTTTCCTTGGTTGGTCTTTGTGATTGTTCTGTTCATTTTGGACTTTTGCCATTTTATCATTTTCTGGGAAGACAAAATAGAATATTACAAGTGGGAGAAGAAAAGCATAAAATTATAAACGTAAAGCCCAATGGAAACCTTATGGTTACAGGGTTTGGGATGAAAAGTTCTCAGCCCACCCAATAGCCCCCATTTCAAATTCCTCATTTTTGAGAAGTACCTAGGCTACATGTCAAAGTATATCTGACTATACTTACGAATTTCCTTCTTTTTTTTGCTTAAGAGGAGTTTATCAAATTTCTTATTCGCAGAAGATGAAGGATCTGGCTGCCCTGATACAGATGTCTTTACCTCAGGAATCATTACATCTTCCTGAGAGGTTGATATTTCTGGAGAATGAGGTTTCACTACCTGCTCTCTGAAAATCAAATCAAATATTTTAAATTAAAAAAAAGTTAAAGAAACCATTTTTTGTACCCTTTTTTGGGAGAAAAAAATACTGAATAAAAGTTAGTAGGCGAGAGACAAGGATAGTTCAGGGGTCAGGTACACATGTACATGGTCCCAAGCTCAATCCCTGCCTCTGCATGCCCCATCCCCGACCACCTCCCCCCACTCCCACACACACACACAGAGCACCACCATCCATGATCCTAGAGGCCCATGACTACTGCCAGAGTTGCTTTAGCAGCTCCCAGAACCATGAGGCCCAGTATTACTACATCAGTGAGCCCACACATTGAACTACCTGGCCCACTGTGGGGTTTGGCTAAATATCTCTTGTAGCAACACCTAAACAGATTCCTTGAACACACTTGAGAAGGACCCCCTCCCCCAAAAAATAAAGTTACAAGGATCAAAGATTCCAAGGCTCTCTATTATCCCCTGAGGTAATTTTATCTGGCAAGAAAAAAATTAGATAGGTGAATCAATACACAGATAGGCGGCGTAACATTTATTAGGGTAAGGTCTACCTTGTGATCAGTTTGCCTCACTAGGATAAACTCACCTGTCAGCATCACCATTTCCTTCTTTGTCTGGTTCTGTGTCTAATTGGGCACATTCTACGGACTGAGTACAGACGGTCTCTGCAAAATCAAGGCTAGATTCCATCCCTCCTAAACCAAATCATTAGAAGTTGAGAAGCAACTAAAGAAAATAACTCCTTTAATTTTTCCAAGCTGCAATCTTTCATTAAAATGCCTCCCACCTGATATCTAGAAGAGCCCACATTTGCCATATGACAGAATTAAGGTTTTTATGAAAAAAAATCTACAAATCTATATCCTTCTGCAAACTTTTCCAGATTCATCTGTCTCATTCATAGATAGTCAAGTAAATTTCATTATATGTTGCATGCATAACAGAAATTTCTAGCGATGTATTTTAAATCATTTGAGAACTGTTCACCTTCCCTCCCTCATCTCGAAGCTGGGAGAGTCCCTTACTACATCATGTGGTTCAGAAACAAAATTTTTAAAAACAACATCATCCATTCATCAAACTTTCTGTGTAACAACTGAAAATGGCAAAGGCCTTAGGGGTGCAAAATAGGGTTCTTTAATTTAAAAGCCGAATCTCTAAGATGTTAAAACAATATTGGAAATAAAAATATATAAGAGTAGATGAAAATCAATTTCATTCATCTGACAGAAACAATATTTTAGAAAATAAATTGTCAACATATATTTACTTATTTTGGAGTTTGTTGGTCAGGGGCTATTCCTAACCCTGTGCTCAGAAGTGACCCCGGTGGTGCTTGTGGGACCATAAATAGAGTACTGGAGATCAAAGCAGGGTCAGAAGCTTGCTAAGCAGACACTTTAAACCCAGTGCTCCCTCCAGCCCAACTGTCACCATAAAAAAATAAATTTTAATTATACTTTTTAAATTTAGGTGAGACTATATTTATATTCCAAAACCAGTATGATCTACTCTTCTAAAATTTTGTTAATTTGTTCTAAGTTATTTTAGCTAAAGCCCTATTGAAAGAAGATGAAGCAGTTAAGAATATTTGAAAGTCCTTGGGACTGGAGCCATAACACAGCGGGTAGGGCGTTTGCCTTGCACGCAGCCGACCTGAGTTTGATTCCCAGCATCCCTTATGGTCTCCTGAATGCCACCAGGAATAGTTCCTGAGTGCAGAGCCAGGAGTAACCCTGTGCATCTCCGGGTGTGACCCAAAAAGCAAAAAAAAAAAAAAAAAAAGATGGAAGGAAGAAGAAAAACTGTCAGCTTGCTCTACCTGAGATAAATTTCCTTGCCCTATAGAAGCTTTTTTTTTCTAGTGTGACATACCCAAGTGCTTCTGATAAGAATTCTGTAGCACAATCTTGACAATCTCCTCAAATTCTTCATTGGTAAGACTTGACTTTATCTGCAGAGATGAAAAGATAAAAAGGTAGAAAAAAATTGCTCATCTTTCCCCAGTCTTCTGTGAATTCACAAGGCTGAGAGCAAGAAGTCAAGGTAACTAAAGATTATGTAAGCTCTCTCCCAAATATCCTATGATTAAAGAAGCCAAAGGGGAAAGTTAATAGCTGTCTACTTCTACTCTCACTTCCATTCCTTTGCATCCCCTACCCACCCAGTTTCTCCTGCTGGCTAAAATATATCCTGTATTTTTATCAAGACTCTTTTAGTATTGTTGACAAGAAAATGAAAGAAATTATCATCTCCATCAATGGACAAGAGCAATAGTTCAATGGGTAGAGAGCTTGCCTTGCATGTGGCCAACGCAGATTTGATCCCCAGTATCCCATATGGTCCACCAGGAGTGGACCTGAACATAGAGCCATGAGGAAGTCCTAAGCACTGAGGGATATAGCCCACGTCACACAAAAAATCCTGTATGTCCTGGTTGGGTGTCTTAAGAGAAATGTCACACCAAAGCCCAACAACGTGACCAATACCTTTTCTTTCTTCTCTGCTTGCTTATTAGCTGAGTGTTGAGGAGAAACTATCCTACCAGCCTTTCCATTCTTTGCTGGCTTGCTGGCTTGCACCTTTCCTTCTTTCATCTGGCCCCTGCTTGGATCTTTCTTGGTAGATGTTTTCTTCTCCTCCTTCTTCTGTAAACTGGCCACTAGCAGATTTGGCTTGACCTCTGCCTCTACAGGTACGTGCCCTGACATCCCTTGCATGGGTGAGTTAGGACTCTCAAACATCAAACTATGCAATTTTTGTGCAGGTGGTGCAAACGTCTTCTTTGGTCCTTTCTTACCTTCTGAAAGAAATGAGATGATAATATGGAATTTATGAAACAGAGTTTACACACAGAAATTTCCATGGCCAGGGCAGGAGGGATAGTACAGTGGGGAGGGCATTTGCCTTGCACACAGCCGACCCAGGTTTGATCCCCAGCATCCCATTTGGTCTCCCGAGCACTGCCAGGAGTAACTCTTGAGTGCAGAGCCAGGAGGAACCCCTGAACATCATTGGGCATGACACCAACCCCCCCCCAAGAAAGCCAAATAAATAAAAAATAAATAAAATGAATTTTAAAAAAAGAAAGAAAAGAAATTTCCATGGCTGAGGGATAACTTGGTGGCACAGAGCCTGCCTTGCAAAAATAAGATGGCATGTTCAATCACTTGTATCACTCCACACATCTGAGTGCAGTCCCAACAACACGCAAGCGGGGTCCCTGGTGCCACAGCAGAGTGTGTGATCTCTGGCACACCACAACCAAGAGTATGTGAGCATAATTAGGTATATAATTCCCTATAAACAACTAAATGTGATCCTTTTTCTGAGTTTTCACATCTAAGTAGCAAAAAGGAAAGGATAACAAAGAAACTGTCACATACTTCCTATTAGCTGGGGGTAGTTATCAGATGACCTGGAGAATGTTCTGAAATAAATACAGACTCCCAGGTCTTTCCTCTCACCCATCACTGTACTGTAAAATCTTATAATATACTTTGAAATGATGTCCAAGAACAGAGTTTTACACATCTAGAGCTAGAAAATTCTGATGTACTATCAGATTTAGGAACCACTCCATAATTCAAAATTATAAATATTAACACACAAGAAACTGAATTATTCAATTTTGAATTTTACTTGATTTTTAGTTTAATTTTATGAAAAAATTATGAAAAATGTGTGAAAACCAAAATCTTAAACAATCAAAAGTCTGAACAGATGCAATTTTCTTCCCAGGTATAAACATGTCTTTGTTCTGAGCTTCAAAAACATTTAGTTCTTTAGTAATAAATTCATACATTGCTTTCCAGGTCATATATATTTTAGAGTATCAGAAAAATCAGTAAAGAGTGAAGACAAGATATACATGAGCTTTCTTCTGGTGGCATGTCCAGCTGAGAGGGAAGGGGGAAATGAAAGAAAAGTATAAAATGAACCTCCCTCACTTTGACTCACCATTATTCTGTAATGTTGTCATTGTTCAATTCAGAAGCTATGCTTCCTTTGTGCCTGTTACAAAAAATAAATCAACGGCTATAACTCTGACTAAATATAATTTTAAACTTCATGTCTTTTTATTCTTTGTTCCTGTTGCTTTTTACAATAGTACACTAATATTTTTGTTTTATACTTGCAATACTGCTAACCATGCTCACTATCAGAATGCCAGGATCCCGCCATCATTTTTCCAAGGTTCTTCTCCCTGTCTTTTGGGTATTTCTTTGCCTATAACCCTGAAATACATTTTTCCCTTCTTAACTATATTTTTACCTCTCCAGTAGTACCAATTGTGTACTTGGAGATGAGAGTTATTGCTTTTAAAATTAGCAACAATTCTTAATATGCTAAGTGCTAGAATCATGTCCAACATGAGGTAAACACACATAAGCAGGTGAAGGTATTTGATAGTAATAGATGTTTAGACAGTATGGTAGCAATAAGGTGTGGACAATTCTAAGAATTAAAGAGCAAGAATTTTCTCCCTGGCAAGCTACCCGTGATGTATTCAATATGCCAAACACAGTAACAACAAGTCTCACAATTTGTTGTGAGACTGGTGCCCGCTAGAGCAAATCGATGAACAATGGGAGGACAGTGCTACAGTGCTACAGGGCAACCTTATTTTAAAAGTTTCTCTTATAGGGGTTGAAGTGATAGCACAGCGGGTAGGGCATTTGCCTTGCATGCAGCCAACCCAGGTTCGATTCCCAGCATCCCAAATGGTCCCCTGAGCACCGCCAGGAGTGATTCCTGAGTGCAGAGTCAGGAGTTACCCCTGTGCATCGCCAGGTGTGATCCCCCAAAAAAAAAAGAAGTAAAGGTTTCTCTTATAAAACACAATAACTGGGGCTGGAGAGATAGTAGAGAGAAAGTGCTTGTCTTGCACATAACTGACATGAGTTTGATCCCTGGCATCTCAAAAGGTTCCCTGAGTCCCACCAAAATTGATTCTTGAGCACAGAGCCAGGAGTAAGCCCTGAGTACCTGTGGTATGGTCCCCACAGAAACAAAAAGCTACACAAATAAGTTAGCGATTTTCTGACCTAATTCAGGGGTTCCCTATAAACACCCTAAATATTTGCTTTTGATCATACCTGCCAGTGCTCAGGGCTCACTCCTGGCGGTGCTCAGGAGACCATATGGGGTTCTGGGGATCAAACGCATGTCTGCTGTGTGCAAGGCAAATGCCCTATCCACTGTACTATTGCTCAGGCCCCTTGGAAATCTTTTTTTAACATCACATTAGCACTGTAGCACTGTCCTCCCATTGCTCATCAATTTGCTCGAGCAGGTCCAATAACGTCTCCATTGTGTGACTTGTTACTGTGTTTGGCATATTGAATACATCACAGGTAGCTTGACAGGCTTTGCCGTGTGGGCAATATAAATTTAATTGAGATTTACAATACAATAAATTTCCAAATTTTCTGGAGTCTAGCAACCTAACTTCATAGCTCAAAAATATTTAGGACCAGCATAGATCACCACAGAGAATTTAGTCCTAAAAAAGTTAACACATTCATTCCACCTGTAGTTAGCAATCTACTCAAAAATGTTTTATACATTACCATTTACATATCATCTCATTTAATTCTCACAATAAATTATAGTTGTTGTTTATTCTTGGAAACACTAGGTTTTGAAAAAAATTAGAGATGTTATTATAAAATCAAACTTTGAACCTGATTTAAAACTTTGTGCTATTGACTGCTACACTGAATTTCAATGATCTGGTTCAGAACTTTATAATCATTTTAATGCCACAGCACATGTAGAAAGTATACATGAATAATATATACTTGAGGGACCAGACACATGGTTCAAAGGGATAAATTACATGCTTGGCATATTCAAGGCCCCAAGTCCAATTCCCAGCACTGCAAGCTCTGTCAGCACTGCCAGACTAGCCCGCCTTTCAGTGTTCAGGGACTATTTCAGGTTCTATGTTCAGGAGAGACCCTGGCTGTACTCAAAGGACTACATGTGGTGTCAGGGAACAAACTGGTATCGCTACATTGCAAGGCAGGTGACTTAACCCTGTGCTATGTCTCTGTGCTGTGTCTCTGACCTGTCATTTTTTTTTCAAATGTACATCTATAAAATATGTTTGTACACCCAGAAACACTGGTAAAAGTAAAATACACTAGAGACAAACACAAGTGCTTAACAGGAATGAAACCATGTTGCTGGGGGTGTTAAAGTAGGGACTTTTTACATACCCTCATGTGTCTCTAGTATAGATATATATTATCACTGCACTTTGATTTTTATTATAAACTACTGCTATATGTGCTGCCAGAGTGCTGATTTCTTAAATAAATTAAAGCCTATTCTCATCAACCTATAAATACAATACTTTCCAGCATTTAGATCCAAATCATTATCTTAACCTACACGGGCCTCTCCAGGCCAAAATGTGTTTCTGTCGCTCCAACTAACAGGATAAAATTGTGGATCACTGCTGAATTAATAAAATGTAGAAAATAGGTATCGTCAATGATGTGTAATAGTTCCCCCTAAAGAAATTACTTTTTTTTCGGGGGATGGGGCCACATCTGGCCGAGCTCAGGGCTTACTCCTGACTCAAGTGCTCAGGGATCACTACTCATGGGCACGGCTCAGGGAACCATCTGAGGTCCACATAGGACCTCATGTGCAAAGCCAAGCACACTTACCCACTGTACTATGGCTCCAGCTCCCCAAAGACATTACTTTTAAAGAAAATCTCAAACCTAATGACTAGGGAAGGGATGTCTAGCAATTCAAGTCTCTGTGTCAGACAAATTATCTTTTTGTATGGTAATAAATACTAAAATCCAATTATGAGATGGAGGAAAATTTATGAATTCACAAAATATCACCAACTTTTATCTGACTGATACCCAATGACTGAGAAACTCTAGACCCAGGAATAACATATGAGATTTTAACCTCTTCTTTCTTAAATTAAAAAAGGTGGGGATCGAAGCTAGAGCAATAGCACAGTGGGTAGGGCGTTTGCCTTGCATGTGGCCGACTTGGCCGACCCGAGTTTGATTCCTCCACCCCTCTGGAGAGCCTGGCAAGCTACCGAGAGAATCTCGCCCACACAGCAAAGCCTGGTAAGCTACCTGTGACATATTCAATATGTCAAACACAGTAACAAGTCTCACAATGGAGACATTACTGGGCCCGCTGGAGTAAACTGACGAACAGGAGGACAGAGCTACAGTGCGGTACTAGGGGATCGAGATGTGTGTGGGGAGGGATGGGGGGGGGGGGGTCAGTGCCTGCCCAAACAGAGCCCAGGCAGCCAAAAACTTCCACACTCTACAATCACTGCCCGGTCCACAGCTCAGAGTAGAGCCTCGCCCAAAAATTAATCTGCCCAAAAGCTCAGGTATGTGGTTTTAGTGACTGAAATCTCCAGGCTTTCAGAGAGTCAGGCATGGGCTACCTTCCCCCATCTCCTTGTACTTCCACAAGCCCCAGCAGTCACCCAGTTAAAAAATTTAACTCAAGGGGCTGGAGTGATAGCACAGCAGACAGGACATTTGCCTTGCATGTTGCCAACCCGGGTTCCATTCCCAGCATCCGATACGGTCCCTCAAGCATCGCCAGGAGAGATTCCTGAATGTAGAGCCAGGAGTAACCCCTGTGTATCGCCAGGTATGACCCAAAAATATACAAAAAAGATTTTAACTCAAGCTGTATCACCCCATTCAAAATTTCTGGACATTCTGGAGCGCATGTGCATGTGACATCTCAAATTCTATACTGATAAACTAGGAGTAACATTTCAGATTGGATGGGATGAAATGTTAAATGCAACAAATCTTGGTTAACAAAACATAAATACACAATGCTTAACCTGTAACCACATCTTAGTAATCTCTTATACAAGGATTTAATGGCTTCATGGTGAGACACAACAATCTTTACTTTCTTCAAAGGAAACATTTTTTTTATTATTCTGTTAGCAAATTTTGCTCGAGCGGGCCCAGTAACGTCTCCATTGGAGACTTTGTTGTTACTGTGTCTGGCATATCAAATACTCTCGGTAGCTTGCTGGGCTCTCCGAGAGGGGCGGAGGAATCGAACTCAGGTCGGCCATGTTGGCCGTGTGTAAGGCGAATGCCCTACCCGCTGTGCTAACGAGCAATATAAAACACATTACCGAGGGCCTGCTATAAGGACAGGTTTTTAAGGGGTCATTGGGAAAATTGGAGAGTGTGGTGGAGGGAAGGTGTAATGGTGCTGAGATTGGTGTTGGAATATTGAATGTAACAAATCATTTTGAACAATTCTGTAAACCACTATGTTTATATAAAGTGTAAAGGGAAATAAAATTTAAAAGTAGGGGGTATGGTGCCACCATCAGGTCAACCTGTACCTGCAGGGCGAGTGCATCAGCAGCCTGATGGTGCCTTCAGACTTCCTGACACCCCAAAATTGCCACTGTGCCTTTGGCCAGACCCCAACAACTTGGGGCCAAGTTTTTTTTTAATTTTTATTAGTGAAACACCATGAGGTATAGTTGTAGACTTACAAATTTTTGTGCTTGGGTTTCAATTATACAATGTTCGAGTACCCATCCCTCCACCAGTGTCCATTTTCCACCACCACTGATCCCAGTATCCCTCCCACCCCCCTTTTCCCCCATCCCACCCTGCCTCTGTGGCAGGGCATTCCCTTTTGTTCTCTCTCTCCTTTTGGGTGCTGTGGTTTGCAAAAGAGGCACTGAGTGGCAATCATGTTCAGTCTATAGTCTACTTTCAGCATGCATCTCCCATCCTGGGAGGATCCTCCCAACACCCTTTATTTGGTGCTTCCCTTCTCTCTCTGAGCTGCCTTTTCCCCTAGCATGTGGCTGGCCTCCAAGCCATGGAGTGAACCTCCTGGTACTTATCTCAGCTATTCTTGGGTGTTAGTCTCCTATTGTGCTACTTTATGTTTTGGGGCCAAGTTTACCAAGAAATTAAACAGCCAAAAGTTAGGTATGTGGGAGCCACACCCACAGACCACCTCCAGCTCAGCATACAAGCTCATTTATTGGCCTTATTTTAGAGACTCATAAATCTCTAAAGAAATCAAAAGCCACAGTTACGGCCAGTGGTGACAAGCTGCGGTCAAGCGAGTGCGCCCTGCAGGGTATATGCCAATGGTTTATTTCTCTGGAAAAGATGGAAACAAAGGCCATGATCCAAAGACACACAAAATCTCTGAACTGTGCAGCTTGATGCAGAGATGCCTCCAGACTTTAACCCTGGTTGACTTCACCGGGGTGCCTCAGATGCAGGCAGGCGTCATCCCTCCACTGGACCCCTAAAAACCCTGGTTGCCACCAACTTCCAGAACCCAATGAGAAGTGCAGCTATGCAGGTTCAGTGACGGCAAACTCCAGGCCTCAAGAGATATGAGATGGGCCAGTTCCTCTCATCTCCCCATCGCCATGGGACCCTGGAGGTCACACCACAAACTGCCTCCAGATGTTACTTAAGCTCCTTTAACAGCCATGATCCAGAGACACACAAAAGAATCTCCAAACCGAGCAACTCACTGCAGAGATTTCTCCAGACCCTAATTATCTAAATTTTTAGAATTCCTGGAGCACGTATCCACAAGAGCAGCCGCGCGACATCTTATGCTATTCCTAACAAGCAATACAAAAGACAGTATGGGGGAGATTGCCTGCCATAGAGGCAGCGGGAAGGATGGAAAGTGGGGGATCCTGGGGCCCTTGGTGGTGGAAAATATGCACTGGTGGAGGGTTGCATATCTTAAATTATCTAAATTTTTAGAATTCCTGGAGCACGCATCCGCAAGAGCAGCCGCGCGACATCTTATGCTATTCCTAACAAGCAATACAAAAGACAGTATGGGGGAGATTGCCTGCCATAGAGGCAGTGGGAGGGATGGAAAGTGGGGGGTCCTGGGGCCCTTGGTGGTGGAAAATATGCACTGGTGGAGGGTTGGGTGATCGGTCATTCTATGACTAAAAGTCAAACAGGAAAGCTTTGTGACTGTATCTCTCGGTGATTGAAAAAATAATAAGAAAAAAAGAAAATAATAAAAATAAAATAAAAAATTTTTAAATACATAATAATGGAGCAATAGCACAGTGGGTAGGGCGTCTGCCTTGCACGCAGCCAACATGGCCGACCCGAGTTCGATTCCTCCGCCCCTCTCGGAGAGCCCGGCAAGCTACCGAGAATATTCGATATGCCAGACACAGTAACAACAAAGTCTCCAATGGAGACGTTACTGGGCCCGCTCAAGCAAATCGATGATCAACGGGAGGGCCTTTACTTTACTTTACTTTACTTACATAATAAAAATTTTAAAGGTGGGGAAATTCAATAAGAAGAAATGATAGTTCTCTCTTTTTGGGGAGAGGGGTTGTTTAGACCACACCTGGCAAAAAGTTCAGGGGTTACTCCTGGCTCCTCACTCAGAGATCACTCCTGCAGGTTCATCTGGAATGCTAGGGATTGAACCCAGGTCCACTGTATGCAAGGCAAGCACCTTGCCCACTGTACTATCACTCCAGGCCCAGAAAATTAAAGATGATTATGTAAATTAGATCCTATTCAACCTAAAATTTAAAAAGGCAAATAAGGAAGGATAAGAAACTTACAAATAACCAAGAGAGCCAAAGCAAGATGAAAGAGTTGTTTCAAATCATAAAGTCTCTTTTCATTTAGAACATTAAATCTTGCATCACATTTTCAGGTGAAATTACCTCCTGCATTTTCAAAGTGTGGTCCAAAGACCCCAGAGGGTAACTATCTTTCAACTACTGAGTAAAATTTTCTTATAAATTTTCTTATAAATACCAAAACAAGGTACCATGACAAACTGAATTTTCAGACATGTGAAAATCTGTCTTACATTAAGCCAAAGATGGAATATAAGATATGCAAAACAGGTCTGGAGCGATAGCACAGCGGGTAGGGCATTTGCCTTGCACGCAGCCAACATGGCCGACATAGGTTCAATTCCCAGCACCCCATATGGTCCCCTGAGCACCGCCAGGAGCAATTCCTGAGTGCATGAGCCAGGAGTAACCCCTGAGCATCACCGGGTGTGACCCAAAAAGCAAAAAAAAAAAGATATGCAAAACTGTAAAATAAGGGGCTGGAGCGATAGCACAGCGGGTAGGGGGTTTGCCTTGCACGCAGTCAACATGGCCGACCCGGGTTCGATTCCCAGCATCCCATATGGTCCCCAGAGCACCGCCAGTAGTAATTCCTGGGTGCATGAGCCAGGAGTAACCCCTGAGCATCGCTGGGTGTGACCCAAAAAGAAAAAAATGTAAAATAACTCCACTCTATAAGAAAAACGTTTTTTGTGGTTTTGGAGCCACACCTGGCTGTGCTCGGGGCATACTTCTGGCTCTATACTCAGGAAATCACTCCTGTGCGGGCTCAGATAACTATATGAGGTGTAGGGGGTTGATCCCAGGTCAGCTGCATCCAAGGCAAGTGCCCTACTCACTGTATTATCTCTGAAGCCCTTCGGAAAATATTTTTCATTAAAATACTATGTTTGGGTGAGGAGAGTGCTCAAAGGGGTGAAGTACATGCCGTGCACACAGAATCCCAGAATTTCATCTCCTAAACACCTGGTCCCCCAAGAAACTTCTGGAGTAACCTCAGAGCACAGAGCTAGGAATACACCATTAGGCATGACCCAAACATTTTTTAGTTCAAAAATATTTTAAGTTTTGTGTTTAAACTAATAGATTAACACCAATATAAAATAAGTATTTAGGGCCAGAAATGTTCTGTACACTAGTTAAAGTGCTTGCCTTACAAGAGGCCAACCCAGGTTCAATTGGGGCATTAGATACGGTTCCCCTAGCACCACACTAGAGTGATTCCTGAGAGCAGAGACAGGAATTCACCCCTGAGCATGGTGGAGTTGTGACCCCAAAACAAAATTAAATAGAATATTTATTTTGCATATAGGAGGTCAGATTCAATCCCCAGCACCATATGATCCCAAAAGCCCGCTGGGGAGCCACCCCTATCCCCCCTCAGGGTGTAGCCCCCAAAAAACAAAAAAATATATATATTAAGAGAACTGATGTACCTAAATAACTTAATTTAATCTATCCCACACTTTCCTTAGAGTACTAATCCTCCTTTCTCCATCGTTCTGAGCAGAACGTTCGTCAACGGCCTGTTCCTCACTACCCAATAATTCTCTTTGTATTTATTCCTGGAACTCTCAATCTAGGAAGAGCAAAAGAAATCCTGTAGAATTTTCTTTGAGCGCAGTCAGCCTGGAATGCATTTCAAATCTGCTTTAAGCAGGGTTGTAGCCGCCTTCGGCACGCAGACTAATGGCACTGGTTTCACCTCCACACTCCACGGGATTCAAGAGCCACTCGCGGGGGTCGCTTTTACTCTGGGGATCATGCAATGCTAGGAACCCCAGCTCCTCTGTACAAAATCCCATGCTCCCACCCCGGGAGCCATCTCCTCCTGAACCCCCATGGTTTGGTTTTAGGTTTCTAACATTCAGCGGGCTGGAGTTTAAAATTTGGGGTGGGGTGGGGGTCCGAGGCAGAGCGCCGATATAGCAGGCAGGGTTATTTACCTAGCACCCGTGCCCGACCCGGGTTCAATCCTTAGCACCCCAAGCCTGTCAGGTGTGATTCCTGAGCACCACTGGCTGTGATCCAAACACTGTCCTCCAGTCGTTCACCAATTTGCGTGGGCTGGCGCAATAGCACAGCGGTAGCGCGTTTGCCTTGCGCGGAGCCAGCTGGACGATCCAGGTTCGATTCCTCCGCTCCCCTCAGAGAGCCCGGGAAGCTACCAAGAGTATCTCCCCCCGCATGGCGAAGCCTGGCAAGCTACCCCTGACGTATTCAATATGCCCAACACAGTAACAAGTGATCCAAAACCCAAATTTGGGGTGAGAGAGAGTGCAAGAGCTTGTCTTGCATGGGGACAACTTCCACTTTGAAGCCCTGAACAACTGCCAGAGTGACCCCAAAACTCAAAACAGAAAGAAAACTCTGACGGGGCGGGTTCCGGCTCCCCAGCTGCCCGCTTAGAAACAACCCGACCCAGACAGCTCCGGGCCAAATACTCCCCTGACCCCGCACAAACGTCTCTCAGGGCACAGGCGCGCCGTCCAGAGCTGCCCCTAAGCCGCCTTTTCCCTCCCTCCCCATGGCCACCGTGGGGTACCTGCCCTCCCACCCGAGCCGGAACCCTCTTGCTCGCTCACACCGTCGCTGCCCACTGAGATTTGCGGGGGGGGGGGGGGGGGGGGAGGAGTGTCCTTGGGTTTGTTTCTTGCAATATTTGGAATCTAGCGGGTAAATAGCTCGTTGTCGCCCTGAGGGGGGGGAAAGCCTCTCCTCAAGTGACGAGGCCCAGGACCGACCACCACACCTAACACGTTGCAAGCGGACAAGAGCAGCTACCTTGTGGGGTGATGCGGGCCGAAAGGTGAGGCGTGGGCAGGGCAGTGACTCGGCAAGCCGTCACGACCTCGGCTCAGTTTTCCCGCCACCACAAGGCGCGAGGCCGAGCACGCGGTCCACACCTCAGCGGGGCGTGCCGGGCGCTACGGCGCATGCGCAACTAGAGGTCGCTTCTGCGCTTGCGCAGTTGGCTCATTTTTTTTTTTTCGCCATCTTCCACATCGGAACTACGAATCCCACAATCCTCTCTGCCCACAATTTTTTTTTTTTTAGGCGGCGGCAGCAGCGCCTGATTGTTCTTGGAAGCTCCTCTCTCTTTCTGCCCTACACTGCCTTTTTTTCTTCTTTCCATTTCCCGACTCCAATTTCTTTCTTTGTCACTCACACTTTGATTGTTTTGAGACCACCCTACACGTGACTCGCCTCTCCCAAGCTTCGGCCACTGGACCCGCACCCCAAGCACGGCTGGCAAGGAGTAAGGGCCACCGAGCACCCTGAGGAAATGGCATCAGATAGCATCTCCTCTATTGGCCAAGGCAGGGGGCCCAAAGCCGGCCGAAACCGCCTCCCCACCCACACTCGTTTTTATAGAAGGCGGCGCGAAGCCGCGGCGTGCACTCGGGAAGGCCTGCGTGCGGGGCGGCTGCGCTGCCGGACATCAGAGCTAGCGGTGGCCGTGGTGGACTCCGGGGTCGCCAGCGGCGGGCTGGCGGCTGGTGCGCAAGCGTGGAGAGGGAGGCGGAGGCGTGGGAGTGGAAGCGGAGAGAAGGGTGTGGTGTCCCCAGGTGATCGCGATTGGGGAAGGCGGAGAAGCCGGGAGAACGTCTCGGCCATTTCGGGGGAAGAGGAAGTTGGACGCTCTCGACTGTTACAGTGCATTTTGTTTCTTCAGTTCAGCAGAGACAATTTACCAGGGGGGTGAGTTAACGTGGACCCTCGCGCTTTACTGAGAAGGCGTGTAGAAAGACGGACGGTACACCCTGCCTTCTCCGTTCCCTCTGCAGCCCTCCCAAGTAGGTGGGCCGGGGTGAGGGGCGGGCTCGAACGGAGTCATGAATAATTCATGAGCGCCGGCCCGGGGCCACGCCCCTTGGGCTCGCGCTGACGCACGTCGCGTATTCCGACCCTGAGGAAGCGACGTCACGGGCCCCGCCCCTCGGACGGAGGGCGGGCCGCCTTCGCCAGCACGTGCTGCCGCTACCCGCGCAAGCCTAAAAGGGTGTGCGCAGGCGCTGCCCGCTAGGGGGAGGAAGGAGGCGGGGTAGGGAGGCTGTTGGGTTTAGAGCCGGGCGGAGACCGCTGAGACTCATTCCTCAGCAACAAGGGTCGGGTGTCAAGGAGACCTTTTCACACCAGCTCCCCGTCCCCCGCCTACGGAGGGTGGGATCGCACGGCCGAGACAAAGGATATCAGTAGGGACGGACGTAGCTGCGCAGGGAAGTAGGGTGTCCGTTTTGGGGCGGTGGGCTTTCGGAGGGGGGCCGCGGGGGGCTATATTTAAACTCCCGGAGCCGTTAAGTTGGTCGGGACTCCGGTGCGCGCGCAGCCTGGGTGGGGGCAGAGTGCGCATGCGTGGTCGCGGCCGCGGGGAACGCGCTCGAGCGGTGCGCGCTCGCGGCGGGCGCCAGTGGCGGCGGCGAGAGGGGTCGGCGCACGCGCAGTGGAGTCCTCGCGGCGTTCGGGTCTCGCGGGCATCTTGTTTTGGTCTCGCGGGCGAGCGGGGCGCGCTTCGGGGAGGCGCCCGGGAGCGAGACGCGGAGAGCCGAGCTGCGCGCGCACTCAGGGAAGGGGGTGGGGGGAAGGGACCGCGGCTTAGGAAGGGGCTTTAAAACCCCCGGTGCCCCCCGGTCGCCCGCGCCTGGCACGGCATAAGGGGAGGCCATGATCGAGATGGCGGCGGAGAAGGAGCCCTTTCTGGTGCCGGCCCCGCCGCCGCCGCTCAAAGAGGAGTCGGGCGGAGGGGGCGGCCCCGCGGTGCAGCCTCCCCGGGAGGCCGCCTCGGGCGAGCTCCGCGGCGGGACACAGCGCGGGCCGGGCCGGGCGCACTCGGCCGAGGCCCCGGCGGCAGGGGCTCGCAAGGAGGGCGGCCCGGCGCCGCCGCCGTCGGACGTGGGGGAGGAGCGGCGGGGAGGGGGCGGGACAGAGCTGGGCCCCCCTGCCCCTCCCCGACCCCGCAACGGCTATCAGCCCCACCGGCCTCCGGGGGGAGGTGGAGGCAAGAGGAGAAATAGCTGTAACGTCGGGGGAGGTGGCGGAGGCTTTAAACATCCGGCCTTCAAGCGGCGCAGGCGGGTGAATTCGGACTGTGACTCGGTGTTGCCCTCCAACTTCCTCCTGGGGGGCAATATCTTTGACCCCCTGAACCTGAATAGCCTTCTGGATGAGGAAGTGAGCCGCGCGCTCAATGCCGAGACCCCTAAGTCATCCCCACTTCCGGCCAAGGGGCGAGACCCAGTGGAGATCCTCATCCCCAAAGATATCACTGACCCGCTCAGTCTCAATACTTGCACTGATGAGGCCCACGTAGTTCTGGCTTCGCCGCTCAAGACGGGTCGCAAGCGGCATAGACACCGAGGACAGCACCACCAGCAGCAGCAGCAGGCTGGAGGGACTGATAGCCACTCAGTGCCGCCCGCGGCCTCCTCCCTCACCCCCTCGCTGCACGGGGAGGGCGCCACGCCGCAGCGGCACCGGGGCCAGAGCCGGGATGCCCCCCAGCCCTATGAACTCAACACAGCCATCAACTGCAGGGATGAGGTCGTGTCGCCCCTTCCGTCCGCCCTGCAGGGTTCCTCAGGCTCCCTTGCGGCCCCGCCAGCCGCCTCTGTTGCCTCTGCGCCCCCCTCTTCCTCCTCACGACATCGCAAACGGCGCAGGACTTCCAGCAAGTCGGAGGCGGGGGCCCGGGGTGGAGGCCAGGGCGCCAAGGAAAAGAGCCGCGGGAGTGGGGGAGGCCGCCACCACGTCCACGCGCCGCCCGCCGCCGCGTTGAAAAAACAGCAGTGCAAGTTCCAGTATGGGAATTACTGCAAGTACTATGGGTACCGGAACCCCTCCTGCGAGGACGGGCGCCTGCGGGTGCTGAAGCCCGAGTGGTTTCAGGGTCGGGACGTGCTCGACCTGGGCTGCAATGTGGGCCACCTGACCCTTAGCATCGCCTGTAAGTGGGGTCCATCCCGCATGGTGGGCCTGGATATCGACCCCCAGCTCATCCACTCGGCCCGCCAGAACATACGACACTACCTGTCCGAGCAGCTGCGCCTCCCGCCGCAGACTGCCGAGGGGAACCCCGGTTCCGAGAGCGAGGGGGCCGCGCCGGTTCCAAAGAGGAGCTGCTTCCCGGCCTCCCTGACCGCCAGCCGGGGTCCCATCGCTGCGCCCCAAGTGCCCTTGGATGGAGCGGACACGTCAGTCTTCCCACACAACGTTGTCTTCGTCAGGGTAAGAGGAGAGAGGCGCTGGGGGTGGGTGTGTTGGCAGGAAAGGCGACCACCTCTGGGAGTGTCCAGTGCACAGGTAGCTGGGATGGGAGGGAGCAAAGGTCTGGCTCTGACCCTGCTGGGTGCCTCCTCCCTGTACCCCAAAACTCAGGGGCTCTGCCCAAGGTCTGCTCTCTGATGACAAGAAGCCCTGGATAGGCCCTGACTTGAAGCCCCCCTCCAATTCGCCTTCCCTTGGGGGCCACAGTTGTGGCTGAGGAGGCGTTTGTTTTCATCCAGATGAAAACTTGTCCTCCAGCCTGCTGAAGAATGGAAAGACTGAGTGACCGCCATGTTCCCTGCCTTGGTCAGGGGAAGCCTACAGTAGTGACAGATAGTCTCAGATTTTCTTTGGCCTGCATTAGTGTTGGTTGGAGCGTGGCGGTGCCCGGGAAACTTTAGCACACCTCCTATTGATCTCAGAGTGGGCTGGGAAGAATCCAGAGCCCCTGCGAGGCAAGGGGTGGCTCCTTGCCCCCGGAAAACATTCCAGCCAGGCCCTGCAGGTTGGCTTGCAGTTCTGGGACAATGGTCTTTGCCGGGCAAGTTAGAGGAGTTTATTAACTAGAAAAGGTTGTGTAAGGCAAGCTGCGTAAACCATTTCGCTCTGATCTGTCTCAAGAAATGTTCGTGCCACCCTGGGGAGATGGGTCTCCAAACTTTTACCAGTGATAAACAGCAGATTTTTCTTCAATTTCTAAAAAGTTGCACAGCCCCACTCACTTGGGGCCAGTGCTCCAGCTTAAGGAATAGGACCCTCAGGACGATTGCTCGTTTCTCTGAGACGAAGAACGTGGCCAGAGACTTCTCCAGGCTCCACAGAGGAGCCCCGGGGTGCCCTTTGACGCTCGAGTCAGGTCCCTTCACCAGTGGTGGGGCATCAATAGTGGACAGGGTCCCCGGATCCACTTCACAACTTGACCACAACCTTGAGATTTCCTGGCTACTGGCTTAATTTAGAATGCCCAGGCTCCGATGACCTTTCGATTGGCTTGCCAGTGCCGGAAGCCGGGGCTGAGGGTGGCAGTGCCGATAGGATGGAGGCGCAGGCGCTTGCCAAAGGCCACTGCTGCCCGTCTGGAGGGGCTAGTGGGGCTTCCTGTGCCTCTGTTGAGTCCCTCCCCCATCTTGTCCTCAGGGCAACTACGTGCTGGATCGAGATGAGCTGGTGGACGCCCAGGCCCCTGAGTACGATGTGGTGCTCTGCCTCAGCCTCACCAAGTGGGTACACCTGAACTGGGGAGACGAGGGGCTGAAGCGCATGTTCCGCCGCATCTACCGCCACCTAAACCCCGGGGGCATCCTGGTGTTGGAGCCCCAGCCTTGGTCATCGTACGGCAAGAGAAAGACCCTCACGGTGAGGCGGGTTGCTGGGGGAAGCAGGCCTGAAATGCCCCTGGGTGGGCGGCAGGAAGACCCTCACGGTGAGGTGGGTTGCGGGGGAAAGCGGGCCTGAAATGCCCCTGGGTGGGCGTCCGGCTGAAGCGCCCCTCTGCCCCTCTCCCTAGGAAACCACCTACAAGAACTACTTCCGAATCCAGCTGAAGCCAGAGCAGTTCCCGTCCTACCTGACCTCCCCCGAAGTGGGCTTCTCCAGCTATGAGCTTGTGGCCACACCCCACAACACCTCCAAAGGTAAGGCTGGTGTGGTGGTGGGGGGGTCGGGGAGACCAGCCTGGGGGCCCTGCCAGCCCCTCCTGACCTCCTCATCTCTCCCCTCAGGCTTCCAGCGTCCTGTGTACCTGTTCCACAAGGCCCGCTCCCCCAGCCACTAAGTGGCCTGCTGCTCCTACGGACCTGGGGAAGAGTTCCTTTCTGGCTCCAAAAAGTTTCCTTTCTTTGCCCTGCGAAGAAAGTGTTTCCTATGTTGCTGCCCCCGCCACCTCCTTTCCACCTCTAGCATCTGGGCTGCAGTGGTGGGCACTCCCCTTCCCTGGCCCCCCTGGACTGGATGGCACGGACTGTTTGCTGACCTGCTCCGAGGGGGCGCGGGGAGGGAGGGTCGTCATCAAGTTCTCCGACCCCTTCCCCTGGTCTCCAAGGAGTCCCATTTTGCCTCAGCCCTTATCTAGCTGCGTTTCAGTGGACCATGGATAGATGGACTGAGGGCTCCAGGGGAGGGGGCGGGCACGCAGGTACTGTGAAAACCTCTCCCTCTGTCATCCCCCCTGGGTAAGGGCATCGGGTTTGGATTGTGAGAACAGCACAATAAACTTGATATTTAGGGCAGTGGCCCCCACACCTGATCTGGCACTTGAGCTGGTGGGGGAAGGGGTGATGCTCCCCAAACCATCTTGCTTTCTAAACTCTGCCCCCACTGTGAGGGCTGCCCGAGTAGAGCCCTCAGGAGAAGGGCATCTTATACTGATTAGAAAGTGGTCTCCCTTCAAAAACAAACTTTTTTTGCCCCATTGGAGCTTTGGCCAGGAGTGGAACTCAGGAAGAGTTAATAGTGAAATGCAAGGGACACTAGAAAAAGGCATATAAGACCCAGCAACTATCTGCCCACCCACTTTTCTTGCTGTGGGGCCTGACTGGCTGGTTTCTAATTAGCATAAGTTCAGCAAGTGTTCTCAGAGCTGTGTTTTGGGTTTTGGTTTATTTTGTTGGGGGAGGGGGGAGGGCACACCCTGTAGTGCTGAGCTTGCTGCTGGCTCTGGGGAGGTGGGGGGATCATATGGCACTTGAGATGGAACCTCTGCAAGGCTTTCCCAGCGGTACTATCACTGGCCACGAATGGTTCTCTAACGTGATCACTAGAGTGTAGACAAGATGCTCTAGGCTCTTAAAGGAAAAGCCAAGGGGATGGCCCCAGACACACTGAAGTGTCCCCACATGTAGGGGGGTGCTGAGGTTCCAACAGAAAGCAAAGGAACAAGTCATCAAAAACCCAAGTGGGGGGGCCGGGGTGTTGGAGGCAGGGAGATCATGGAGCTCTTGGCCGGCAAGAGTCCCCAGTTTGTCCTGGCTTGGAGAGTCTTAGGTCCTGGCCGAGACCCGGTTTTCTACCTGCCATCAGCTTCAGGCACAAGGTCTGAGCCCCAACTCGAGGCTCCCAAGAAGAGTCCCACTTCCTAACAAAACGATTTATTCTGAAAAAGTTTGAGTAAACAAAACCAACCACGAAGCCACAACCACCAGGCTAGGCTTCCCAGCGTCGCAGGGTATGGTGCATGAGGAAGGTGTCTTCTGGGGGCCGAGGCCGGGGCTGCAGCCGGAGGGGGGGCAGTGCGTCCAGGGTCAAGTACGGGGTCTCATAAAACAGTGTTTCAGGGTCACAGAGGATGGTCATGTCCGGTCCGGGCGCCGGGGGCTCCTGCAAGAATCAGGAGCCCAAAGCACGGTCACACGCGGGGCGGGGGTGGGAGGGGCGCGGGGGCTCCGGCCCAGGACCCTCACCTTGGGGGGCGGGGCACGCGCGTGCGGCAGGAGCGCCAGTTTGTCCCGAAGCGCGGCGTGCAGCACCTGGTCCTCGGGCACCTGCAGGCTCACCAGGTCCCGGAAGAGACGCCGAGAGCGCGGCACGTTCAGCCCTGCGAGCGCGAGGGGAGCGGGCGTGAGCGGCGCCCCGCGCCCCGCGCCCCCCGCCCGCGGCCGGCCGCCAGCCCCCCTCACCCTCGGCCACGCTCTCTTCCAGGCCGCAGCGGGTCTGGAAGGACTTTCGCAGCTGCTCCTCCACGGCCTTGGCCGCGTCGAACTGGCCCCCGGCGGCGGCCCGCGCGGCCTGCAACTCGAGGCCCAGGGCCAGGCTGCTCTGCTGCACCGGCGCCCCCAGCTCCTGCGCCGCGGGCTCCTCGCTCGGGGCATCGGGCCGACCCGGGGAGGCCGGCGCCAGGCGGAAGCGGACCTGGGGGCAGAGGAGAGGGGCGAGGAGCCGGGCCGCCCAGGGCTCCGCGGGCGACTGGGGGCAGAGGAGAGGGGCGAGGAGCCAGGCCGCCCGGGCCTCCGCGGGTGCCGCTCAGGCCAGCCCCCGGCTCACCTGCCGGCCCTTGCGAGCTCCGCCCCGCCGGGCTGCCCGCCCCTTCCGCCGCGATGCAATGCAGCTCGGCGGTTCGGGGCTCGCAGGCTGCGGGCTCGGGCTGGAGCTCAGGCTCAGGTCCAAGCCGGGCTCGGGCACGGGGGCTGCCGGATCCGGAGCTCGGGGTTCCGGAGGTCTCCCCGGAGCCGCCACGGCCTCGGCCCCCTTCATCGATTCCAGCTCAGACTTCCCACAGCCCGTCATCCTAGGGTCGCCACGGGGGGTCGGGAGCGTAGCCGGGGGGTCAAAGGACACAGATGCTTTCCCCCCACTCTTCCCAGACGGTGCCACCGGAAACCGTTAGTCGTGGAGGGGCGGGGAAGCAAGGCCCTGCCCCACCCTATTGGCTCTCCTTAGCGTCATTTCCGTGGCCCCGCCCCAACCTCCGGCAGTCTGCGGCCCCGCCCCTGTGTCAAGAGTTTCAGGCTGAAGCGCTAGGGGTTCTCAAAAAGGCCATATTTCTCAAAAACCTATGCCTTGTCATGTCGGTTCCGCCGATTATTTTTTTTTCTGCTTTTTTGGGTCACACCCGGCGATGCTCAGAGGTTCCTTCTGGCTCTGCACTCAGGAATTACTCCTGGCGGTGCTCGGGGGACCATACGGGATGCTGGGAATTGAACCTGGGTTGGCTGCGTACTAGGCAAACGCCCTACTCGCTGTGCTCTCGCTCCAGCCCCTCCGCTGGTTCTTAATTACCTTCTGTTGGAGGTATAAGTGTCTACTGGAGAACCATCCCCAGTGTTCCCACATTGCACTGGATCGGAGCCTCTCCGTTGTGTGTGTGTGGGGGGGGGGGGGGAGGCGGGGCTCGCAGACCCTGACCAGGGGTGCCCTTGGTACACTCTGGCAGACAACTTTCTCTTCCAGTCTTGCGTTCAATTGTGACTTTTTTCTCTCCGAGGGTCCTCTGCAATATTTATCTGCATAAGATTAGATATCTGGGGCACCAGAGAGCTAGCACAAGAACTGAGCGCATATGGGAGGCCTGGGTTTCATCCCCAGCACTGTTTGGTCCTTGAAACCACTCCAAGCACAAAGCTGAGAGTAACCCCTGAGCATTGAACCCGGGTTGGGTCCAAAAGCCAGCAAGAAAGTAATTATCTGTTCTGAATACAGATGAAAAGAAACAAAGGAGAAAGAGAAAGTTGTAAAATTCAAGCCGAGGTGGGAGCCTGCACGGCTGGAAGGAGATTGGAGCTTTGATCTGTGTTTCTCAGGGCAGGGCCACTACATTCCGTGGGCCTGTTCTAGAAAGGTGCTGAGTTGGACTCAGGGCTTCCCCAATCTGAGTTAATCCAGCTGGACCCAGCACTGAACCATCAAGCTTGCACTGAGGCTATGTATTATCCAACTCCCGCTGGGATGTTGCCCCATCTTATTTTTTTATTTCATGTATGTATTTTTGGTTTTAAGGCCACACCCAGAACTGCTCAGGGATCACTCCTGAACATGATGAGCACACGAGAGGCTGGGGCTGTCCAGAGACAAAGCACAGTAGGCCCAGTGTTAGGGAACAGTTTTCCCCAACAGTGCGGGGACACATTGTGCACCAGGTCCAGGCAGACGTGGGGCGAAGGATGACATGTCCGCAGAGAAAACACCTTCCAGGAACAGTTCCCCAACGGTCCAGCACTGCCCAGTGTGTGCAAGGCTGTGCATTGGAGTTCAGTCCTAGACACCACAAGGGCAGTCACAGTGATGACGACAGCAGCCACGGAAGGGAAGGGAATGGATGCGGGCAAAACTCAAAGTGTACCCAAAGGGCCAGAGCAACAGCACAACTTGCCTTGCATGTGGTCCACCCGGATTCGTTCCCCAGCAATCTATATGGTCCCCTGAGCCCACCAGGAGTGACCCCTGAGCTCAGAGCGAAGAGTAAGCCCTGAGCACCGCTGCGTATGCCCCCCCCCCCACACACACACAAACACACACACATACAAGTGTAGCCCAAAAACTAAATTTCAAAATAAGACAGAAAACAGAATTGCAGGTTGGAGCAGGGGCCGGGGAATTAGGGACGGCCAGGCCCCACCCCACAAGCTATTTCATCCCCACCTGCCCCACTCACACAGGCAATCCTAGAATCTGAGATATTTTGGGGCAGGGGGAAGGGGGTTGCCCAAGTCTGTTTACTCTGGAAGCAAAGCCAGGGCACTGCTGGGCTGATTGGCTAGAAGGCTGGTGGCTCTGTAGGTAGAACAGGAAGCGAGCTGGTGGCAACAGAGTGTGTCCACACCAGTGACCACAGACTGTCCTGCACAACAGAGACCACAGCTGCCAGTTCAGTGTCTGCCTCCGAGGCAGAGAGAGGCTGGAGGGACCCAGCCTTGACCTAGCCTGTGGCCGGTACCCAGACGCCCACTTCCCCCCAGCTCTCCAGCCCCGCGTTGTCCCTCGGCAAGATGGCCTTCCTGTCCACTATAAGTCTGAGCGGCCAGAAACTGTGAGCTGGTCCACCTCCCACCTTGACCAGGCCAATGGACTGCAAAGCAGCAGTTTGTGTTAGGATACACCCGATCCTTGGCAGTATAGGAACCCCGGAAGCATGAAGTGGGGGTGCAGAGAGGGCTAGAGGGAAGCACACCTCAAACCAGTTCTGCTCTCTGGGATGGTTCAGGGAGCCTGAGGTTAGCCGGGCGTAGGCTCACAGGAAGAAAGGGGGAACTGGGGCTGGAGTGATAGCACAGCGGGGAGGGCGTTTGCCTTGCATGCAGTTCGATCCCTGGCATCCCATATGGTCCCCCGAGCACTGCCAGGAGCAATTCCAGAGTGCAGAGCCAAGAGTAACCCCTGAGCATCGCCAGGTGTGACCCACAACGAAAAAATAAAATAAGGGGGAGCCCCACCACAGCCTGTGGAGAGGCTGCATACTCGGCACCACGCCCAGGTTTCCAGTGGGATCTACTCTCCTCTCTCTTCCCTATCATCAGGCCGGGGTCCCCCTAACCCAGGGTGCACCCCCTCTGCACTCGGGAGTCTGGACCCTCCTTTACTACCCCAGGCCTCAGGTCAGCTCTCACCACCCCACTCTGAGCATCATTCACGCTGGGCTGGGGGTCTGGTAACCTCTCTCCAGTTCTCCCCCAAGCCCACCCAGATCCACTGGGCACCCAGTGTGGTTCCGAGACCCCAGCCCTTGTGGAAGGAACTTGTATCTCGGGCCCTGTGTACCCAAGAAACCACACAGGGTGTGTACCCCAGAAACCACACAGGGGAAGTCTCATTGTTCATAAAACACTCTCCCCCGGAATGGGGGAGGGGTGGTTATGACCGGGTAGACCATGTGACCCCCTTGCACACGCGCATATACACACACACACACATATACACACACACGGGTAAGCATGTGCACGCATAGGTCCCACTGAGAAGAATGTCATGAGGTGTCATGGGACACTTCTTGGTCCATAGGAATCCAAGGACAGTGCAGAAGCAGCATATGGAGATGGTGGCAGTGACAGGAATCACTTGATCACTTGACATCCCGTTACTCATCTATTTGCTCAAGCGGACGCCAGTAATGTCTCCATTAGTCCCTGTCGCATGTTAGTGTATCCCAGTGGCGTCTGCTCGTTCTAGGAACACAAAGAGCCTCCAACCGACCATTCAGGATCTTGACGAAGAAATCTGACCATTTCGTAGGTGGGCAGCCACGCGGTCTTTTGACTTCCCGTGGAATCCAGTCGGTAACAGCTCTAGTCCAGCGGTCATCTCCAAATCTCATTACGTGTCCAGCCCATCGACGCCTTGGCAAACGAGACAGCGTCCCTGGTTCTTGACCATTGACAGAGATCAGAACTCGAGATTCTTTCTCTCATTTGAGTGAACAGTGATACTCCAAGCATAGCTCTTTTGATTCCTCTTTGGGAAACCCGAATAGCGTTCTCATCCTGTTTTAGTGACAGGAAGAGCCTGGAAAATTCTTTTCTGTCTGTTAGAAAGCTGGGCCCCTTCTCGAAGCCCTGTTATTCCAGTTGAAAGGGAAATGCCTGAAATGTCCTAGATATCTGTGTGCACTAGAGTTGTGCAGTGCACAGCCTGGACTACAGTACAGTGTGACCCTGAGGGATGGAGGAGTTGCTGAGAGAGAGAAGTGGGGGTAGGGGGTATGGGGAAAGTAGTGGGGGAATGACAGGCTCCAGGCAGCTCTCCTGCCTGATATCACTAAGGGGGATCTTGGGGAAAATTTTCAATCCCCTCTATGCTTCAGTTTATGGATTTGGGAAACGGGGGTGTGGCCTTCAGTTAAGGGGTGGCCTTAACTGAATGAGATGGTGAATGTAGAGGCAGGCAGGAAGCCTCTCTCCGCCTAGGGTTAGGGGTCAGTAAGGACAGCAGCCTGCAGTTTAGAGGGGGAGGACAGAGGCGCTGGTGAAGTTGCTTGATCTCAAAATCGGCTGTCAGGCAGGAGAGAGTGGACAGTGTTAAGGCTCTTGCCTTGTGGCAGCCAACCCTAACTTAATCCTTGTCACTGCATGTGGTCCCCAAGTTCCCCTGGGGGACCCCTAAGCACAGTCAGAAGTAAGTTTTGAGCACTGCCAGTTGTGGCCCCCAAACCACCCACCCACCCAGGAAAACACAAGAACACACAAGTGTCCCAGGGAAGCTGACTGTGGCCGCGTGTGAATAGTTCCTGTCCCTGCGTGAATAAGGGCTGAAGCCAGAGCTCTCCTGCGTCGGCGAGTTCCTCAGAGGTGTGGTCTGTCTGAACTCAGTGGGGTCAGGAGAGACGCCTCCACCAGCCCGGGAAGGAGACAGGAGGTGGCTACAGGGGAATGGGACCACGAGGCGGAGACGCAGCAGTCGCGACCCGCGCCCACCAGCGCCATCTGCAGCTCGGGACGGCGATGTGACCAGCACCCGGCAGCTTTCCCAGCTCTTAACCGTCCAGTCCCGGGCGATCCCACCCACGGAGGGGGACATCCCCTCCCGAGGCCCACGTTATGGGGCGTGGCCTATACGGATCACGCCCATGTGGGCGGGACTAAGAATGACGTCACGGGCCCGTTCGACCCGCAGTCCCTTTAGGGGAAGGTTCAAATTCCTGACTGCAGGAGTGAGAGGCCCCACCTTCACTGTCCGGCACTGTCTTCCCCGCGGCCACCCCAGGAGGCGCCTCCACCACCTTTCCCCACTATCAGCCCTCCTCCTCTCCTCTCAGCTCAGGTCAAAATAGATTCCCGGACTGGGGAGACCTGGAACCTACATTTTTCACAAACTGTCCCAATTCCTGGCCCCGTGGTTCTGCCCCACGTCAGCAGGCG